AACAAGACTAGCGGTGTAGTCTAGACGACATGCAGCAGCAAAGTCAACAAGCTCAGCGACCAAGGCAGACGCAGCAGTAGACTCAAACGACGGGTCAGTGACAATAGTGGCTAGGAGACGCGTGACAGTAGGGTGCTCAGTACGAAACCGGTCAGACTCAGGGTCCGGAACGGCAGGCAGAGAGGACGCAGGAGGAGACGGCAGAGGAACAGGCGGCGGAGCAGAGGAAGGACAACGGACTACGAGGTGTGCGCCGGGGACAGCCGGCTGACGCGAACGAGGAACACGACGACCGGTACGACCAGGACGAACAGGCGAAACAGGACGCGACGCAGGCTCACGACGCTCAGCAGGACTACCAGTCAGCTCAGTGTAAGGAGAAGGAGCAGGCAGCGGTGAGCCAGACTGTAACGGAAGACCAGTAGACGACGGAAGAGTAAGAACCTGACGAAGAACAGAGGCAGACGGCGGCAGAGACGACGGAGACGGCGGAGCGAAGAACAGTCGTGTCGGCGCAGCTGCACCAGTACCAGCAGCTCCAGCAGCTCCAGTGCCTCCAGCAGCTCCAGTACCTCCAGCAGCTCCAGTACCTCCAGGCCCAAAGCTGACACCTCGAGTCCCAGGGTCTCCAACCTCTGTGTCTCCAGCAGCAGCACCCCCAGAACCAGCACCTCCAGTCCCAGGGTCTCCAACCTCAGGGTCGCCAGCAGTAGCACCCCCAGAACCAGCACCTCCAGCTCCAGGGTCTCCAACCTCAGTGTCTCCAGCAGCAGCACCCCCAGAGCCAGCACCTCCAGTCCCAGGGTCTCCAGCCTTAGTGTCTCCAGCACGAGCCCCTCCAGAACCAGCAACTCCAGCACCTCCAGTAGACAAAGGACCAGCACGACTCCGAGCTCCAGCAGCGCGGCGCTGACGGCGACCGTACCAGTCCTGCAGCTGCTGTGGGGTGAGAGGCACACGTGGACGAAGGCGGCCACTCCAAGGAGACCGCGCAACAGCAGACTCAGAACCCTCAGCGCCCGCACCCCCAACGGCTCCAGAACCTCCGGTGTCAGTACCCTCAGCACCAGTACCTCCAGCGGCTCCAGAACCTCCAGCTCCAGCGTCACCAGTACTAGGCCCTCCAGCAGCTCCCGAACCTCCAGCGCCAGCACCCTCAGTAGCTCCAGAACCTCCAGCGTCAGTACCGCCAAGCTCAGCACCCCCAGACCCCTCACACGCAGGCTCAGCACCACCAGGCTCTACACCCTCAAGCTCCGCACCCGCAGGCTCAGTACCCCCAGGCTCAGCACCCCCAGGCTCCGCACCCCTAGGCTCAGCACCCCCAGAAGTAGCACCCCGAGCAGGACCACTCTCAGTAGGACCTGAGTCACCAGTGACCTCAACCGGCGCAGTCAAGGGAGGAGGGTCTACCTGAGAAACACCTGAAGGAGCAGGACCGGGAGCGGGGAGGGGGTCTACCTGGGGAGCACCTGGAGCGAGGAAGAGCGGCGGGGGGGGGGAGCGAGGCAGTGCGGTAGGGGAAGAGACGGTAAAAGGGAACCGACTCGTCGAACGTGACGTCCTGAGACGCAAAGACACGGCGCGAGGTGGGGTGGTAAAACTGCCAACCAGGCGCGTCAGGGACAAAGCCAAGGAAGACACAGGGAACAGCGCGGGCGGAGAGCTTGTCCGCGGTGGTATCGCGGACAAAGGCACGAGCACCCCAGACCCGGAAACGCGACGCATCGCCAACCTTCCCCGTCCACATCAGTGTGGGCGAGGTCTCCGGCAAGGAGACACGGGGCCAGAGGTTGAGCTGATGCGCGGCGTACCGGACCGCAAACGGCCACAGAAAATGGGGGGCAGCCGCATGGATCAGGGAGGTACGAGCGACCTCCATGACTAAGCCAATGCGGCACTCAGCAACCCCATTCTGCTGCGGAGAGGCCGGAAGCGTGAACGACTGGGTGATGCCGTGCTCCGCACAGTAGGCTGCCAAGAGGTTGGAGGAGAACTCACCACCTCTGTCAGAGTGCAGACGCAGGACAGGAAATTCCGACAGGAACCGCTCGCGGAGCTGGAGACGAACTGCGCGGATCCAGGGGATCAAAACAGCAGGGACATCCGCCTTGCTCCGCAAGGGGAAGACCGTGGTGTAACGCGTGTAGTCGTCGACAACCAGCAGGAAGTACCGCTCGTGGCCCTGTCCCTGGACGCGGGCTGGGCCCCACACGTCCAGGTGGAGCGTCTGCAGTGGAGCCTCTGTGGGAGGAAACGAGGAGGAGTGAGGAGCGGCGCGCTGCCGCCCCTCGACGCAAGGAATGCAGGGCGGCGCAGGCGAGGGAGGGAGGGCAGGCAGAGACCTGGGAAGACTAGAGACCAGGGAGCGAGAGTGCATGCTACGCAGGCGAGGCAAGGAGGGGTGACCAAGGCGGTGGTGCCACAGGAGAGTGTCGTGCGACAAAGCGCGACACTCGCAGGGGGCCGCCTGCTGACCAGACGTAGACGCAGACGCAGCTACCTGAGGGGACTTAGTGGTCAGTGTGTACAGACTCGAGCCAGGTGCACGGGTGAACGTGGCCAAGTGCCGGCCCGTCCTAGCACACGTACAGTGAGTCACTCGCTGACTCGCAGGAGTGAACTGGTGAACCCCCCCATCCTGGAGGTCAGCTCCACTCACCAAGTTCGTAGAGAACGAGGGGAGGTAAAGACCTGACAGGAAGCCAGACGGGACGGCCGGACACGGCAGAACCGTGGAGTGGTGGGCAATGACTGGACCCCCAGAGGGGTCCGCCAGGGAGATAGGGACTGGCCGACTGAGCGGCGTGAGTGCGGTGCAGTCGCGAAAGAAGGAGCGGGAAGCTCCTGAGTCAAGGGTGAAGGTGTGCGAGACCGCAGTGGGCGCAGTACCAGAGAGAGCAGACTCACCAGCACCTGAAGCCACGGCCTCACCAGTACCTAGAGCAGTAGACGTACTAGCACCGAGAGCAGCAGCCTCACCAGCACCTAGAGCAGGAGACGCACTAGCACCTAGGGCAGCAGCCTCACCAGGGTCAGGCGGTACGCACAGGTAACAGGCACGGTCAGCACTAGTAGACAAGGCATACATGGCAGTGAGAATAGCATCATAGTCAAGCGCAAAGATATCTACCCTCTGTCCATGCAGCTCCAGCCAGGTGGGGAGCTCAGCCTCGTCGCCAAACACTGTGCGCCAGGCGTCGCTCAGACGGGCGAAGCAGCGGGACTGTGTGTGACCAAGCGTCCCACAAGGCTGACCAGTCCTAGCACCTGTGCGAATGACGTACGGGCAGCGAACTGTACGGGTAGACCTGCTACACTGAGCGTACCACTCCTGGAGCTGCCGAGGCGTAAGTGGCTCGCGTGGACGCCCCTGCAGCTGCAGCTGGCCACTGCTAGACGCTCCCAACTGACCAGCCCCAGGGCGACAGCTACGACGGCTACCGCGACAACCCCAGCTAGTATACCACTCACTAAGCTGCTGGGGCGTGAGAGGCTCGCGTGAACGTCGCTGGAGCTGCATCTGGCCACCTGCCAGTAGCAGTAGCAGCAGCAGCAGCGCGGGCAGGGCAGGCGTGGCAGGCAGGTAGGCAAGCAGGCAGGCAGGCAGGCAGGCAGGAAGGCAGGCAGGCAGACAGGCAGGCAGGCAGGCAGACAGACAGGCAGGCCGGCAGGCAGGCAGTCAGGCCGGTAGGCAGGCAGGCAGGCGCGCAGGCAGGCAGGCAGGCAGGCCGGCAGGCAGGCAGGCAGGCAGGCAGGCAGGCAGGCAGGCAGACAGGCAGGCCGTCAGGCAGGCAGGCAGTCGCTCACCAAAGGCTGGGAGAGCAGGCGCTCACCGGGCGAGCAGGGCCGGCGCTCGACAGCGGCGACGTCGGGGCCGCAACACCGGCTGCAGAGTAGGGCCGAAGCAGCTGCAGGGCGGGGCCGCTTCAGCGGCAGGTCGGGGCCGTGGCAGCTGCAGGGCGGGGCCGCATCAGCGGCAGGTCGGGGCCGTGGCAGCTGCAGGGCGGGGCCGCATCAGCGGCAGGTCGGGGCCGTGGCAGCTGCAGGGCGGGGCCGCATCAGCGGCAGGTCGGGGCCGAGGCAGAGGGCCGCGCGCGGCTCGGCGCGGGCTGCGCTGACAGCGCGCTAAGCTGATGCAGGCCGCGCGCGGCCGCGCTAGGCAGTAGCGGGCCGCGCGCGGCTCGGCGCGGGCTGTTGCGGGCCGCGCGCGGGCCGTGCGAGGCAGTAGCAGGCCGCGCGCGGCTCGGCGCGGGCTGCTGCGGGCCGCGCGCGGGCCTCGCGAGGCCGTAGCAGGCCGCGCGCGGCTCGACGCGGGCTGCGTGGGCTCGGCGCGGGCTGCGCGCGGCAGCTGCGAGCTGCGCGCGGCTCGGTGCGGGCTGCGCGCGGCTGCAGCGGGCTGCGCGCGGCTCGGTGCGGGCTGCGCGCGGCTGCAGCGGGCTGCGCGCGACTCGGTGCGGGCAGCGCGCGGCAGCAGTGTGCTTAACGGTCTGCAGGGGCTGTGTGCGGGCCTGACGGGCGTGTAGAGGCGGCGCGCGGGCCTTACGGGCCTCTAGGGGCAGCGCGCTGGCCTAGGGCAGCAGGAGGCAGCGCATGTGCAGCACGTCACAAGGCAAGGCAAGGCAGGCAGGTACGTGGGGTAGCGCGGTAACCGCAGCGGTAGGTGGGCCCGAAAAAAACGGTCCTACGGACCTTAGTGCTCTGAAACCATGTTAGAATCTAGCAGCAGGAATGGATGAACTAACAGGATGCAGGAGTACAAGTAGTAAACCCTAATTGGGTTGTACCCCATATGGGCTACCCCACTACAGCCTAGACAATATGCAGCACATATAGTTTGACAAAAAAATTTACCCCAGGCCATCAGTGTACATTGAAAATTTTACCCTTGTCAGCAGTATAGAAGGGTAAATTACACTGATAACATGAGCCCTGCTGTCGATGGAAATACTTTCCTAGTCATACATACCGTACACCACAGCTTGAAATGGGAAAATTGTTCATGTTTTATTGCTCGTCTCATCAGCGCAAACTGTAGAATCATCGCACGCATTGTACCGGAGACCCGACCTAATTCTAAAAATGTCCTGTGAAAAAGAGGATATTTTTGTCCCCAGAAACACATCAGCCATAGCGCATACGGCCTTGTCGAGTGTCGCCCTGACTGTGGTCAAGTGCTCGAAATGGAAGGGCAGGAGGACCTCTGCCCATGGCTGCTCTGTGAATTCTTGAGGCAGCTGGAAAAGCTGCAGGCTTGGAATGACTGATCGGATGGATTGTTCCAAGTCAGAGATCTAGCAGTGGTGGAAGGCGAGCAGCACAGAAGGGGGGTTTGAGAAAGTAACGGGGAGATGAGGGGGGTTTGAGTGTAAGAGAGAACTTGGGAAGTGGAGAAGAACGGAGAGTAAGCGATTGATGAATGGTTTTGTGGGAAGCGATGGGGATTAGTTGAAGCAGGCAAAGGTAGTGGAAACGAGAAGAGCATTACTGCTCTTAAAGCCTGCTTGCAAGCTTGCATCACCAGGTGGTGTTAACTATGTTGAATTTCCAACTTGTCGCAAAAAGGAATGTACATGCTGTAACGCATGGCCTCCATTCTTGCACCACAATCACGCAAGGGAGAAAAAATATCCCAACCTCCTTTCAGTCCCTCCCCACAGCCCACCCACCTCACCTCCTCCCATCCCCTCCATGCCTGCTCACCTGCTTCAATGTCGACTCAATAGTCACCCCGACTCACCTCGTCAGCACCGGCGTCAGTGGCAAGGAAGAGAGCAGTGGTGTTGTAGGAGCGCTGCATCTTATGCGCCACACACAGCCCCGCCTGCTGCGCACTCACATGCCCCGCCTTCTTGTACTGGCTCATCATATCGCCGCGCCTCCAATGCACTGCCATGTACCTCCCACTCCCACTGCTACCGCCGCTGCCACTGCTGCTGCTATTCCCCACTGCACTGTCACTGCTGTTATCCCCAGAAGCAACCTCCCACTCCCTCGCCCTTCCCCCCAGCACAACGCGCCTCACAAACGCATCTGCAGCAGCCAGCACAGCGGGATGCGGCTGAATGGCCAGGCGATTGTTGCAGCCATCCAGGCTGAAGAAGGGCACATCTAGACCGTTCATGTACTCGCCCTGGGGACTCCTAGACGCATCCATCATCGTTGATCCTAGATCACCAAAGGTTACCATGTAAGGCGAGGCGAGGGACGGGGCGGGAGGGAGAGGAGGGAGAGGAGGGAGAGGAGGGGAGGAGGAGCGAGTTAATGTAAGCAGCATCAGTGCTGTTGATCGGATGGCTGGCGGAGAGATTAGCGAGAGTCCAGGTGAGTGTGGGGGAGAAGGTGACATGGGCGAGGTCTGGTAGGTGGTCTGGTTCGCCCATGCCCTGCTGGTTGTAGCAGGGCCCTGTGAGACACACTACCTGGTCCACACGCAGGGCACCATGCAGCGTGGACCCATCGAGACTTGTGGCTGGGCTGTTCACCCCCCCAGCTGCACCTGCTGCTGCAGGATTGCTCGTAGCCGCAGTAGGGGCAGTAGTTGATGCGGCCTCGGGGCTGCCTGTGTTCCCATCCAGTGAACTACTTGCTGTGGTGGAACCAGCAGTAGCAGCAGCAGCGACCGGCCCACCAGCAGCACTGGTCCAATCCGCAGCACCAGGCGCATCAGCAGCAGTGTTCACAGCAGCAGCACCCATGCCGTGTGTGCCGTTGTCTCCCTGCAGGCGCAGCAGCACCTGCAGCGGAGTCATGACAGTGGTGGGTCCGAAGCACAGCTGCGCGTGTGCTACGTCGAAGAACACACGCCGGTCGTAGCTCAACCTGTTGCCGTGCGAGTCCGCAACAGGCGTCGTGCTGCTGCTGCTGCTGCTGCTGTTCCCGGTGTTCCCGCCGGTGCTGCTGGCGTCTGCGGCGTGCAGCGGCACGACAAGCGTGCGGTTGAGGTAGCCCGTGAGCGTGAGGTAGTTGCGAATGCACCGCACCCGATTGCTCAACTGCCACATCAAGACGGGAGGGGATGGGCACACCAGGGATGGGATGGCAAGTGTGACGAGCGTGGGAGGGGGAGAGAGGCAGAGAGCGGTAAGAGTAAGGCCCGCGGAGGACTAGGTTGAGAGTGCGAGGCAGTTGCGGATGCAACGCAGATGCAGCTCTCAGATTCCATGCCGCAACGGGGGTGGGAGAGTCCCACGGGTGCGGGAAGAGGCAGGGAGCAGAGCAGCAAGAGAAAGAAAGGCATGGGGGGCTGGTTTGAGAGGGGGCTGAAGCGGGGGTTGTTTCACTTCAAGTCCGAGAGGATGCATATGGTGGGCCCTCCACATGGCCGGGGCGAATTAAGATTAGCGGGAAGGAACATCGATATTTCGAAAGAGCCATCGATGGGTGGCAAGGGAAGGGAGGAAAGGCAAAAGTGAGAGAGCCTGGCAAGGAAATCGAGTGGCAGGAGGGAGGCGGCGAGGATTGGATGGAGAAAGAGAGTGCATGCACGGGTGACACAACCCTTAGCCCACTTCCCTAACCCGTTACCCAAGACCCTAGACCCAATACCTTAAACCCTAGACCCAAGACCCTAGACCCTATTCTATAGCCCCCATGCACCAGGCGATAGCCAGTAACCCGTACGCCATTGGCCAAAGGCCATGCAATAGCCTCGCTTGCTTGACCCACCTGGTTGCGATGGCAATCCATGAGCACGTATCGTCCCGGGAGCGGTATCCATGCCATGTGCCCCCTGCCGTACTGGTTGTCGTACCGCACTGTACCGCTGCACACCCCCCTGTCCACCTTGCGCTGGTCCAACTCTACTCGCTGCTTCATGGTTAAGGGACGGGTCCTGTGGAGGTGAGAAGGTAAGAATGCGGGTTGCATAGGAAAGAGGGGGCGAGAGCAAAAGAGGTGGAGGGAGAGGGAAAGAGGGGTAGACTGGGAAAGTGGGGGAGGGAGGAAAACAGGGGGAGAGAGGAAAAGAGGGGCTAGAGGAAAAAGAGGAAACGAGGAGGAGAGAAGGAGAGAGTGGTTTGACTGAGGGTGGATTTGGAAAAAGGCTCGAGAGGTTCTTGCGGACGGGCATTGCATGAGACGAGGGGAGAGTGACGGAGCAAGGAAGCAAGTGAAGAGAAGAGAAGAGACTGTCGAACCTCTCTTGCCAACCTACCGGCCGGTCCTGGACTCCCAGAGATCACCTCCCCGTCTTCCAGACCCAGGAACGGCGTCATTAGAGAGCCGTGGGGCCAGGAAGAGGAGAGAGAACAATGCTCAGGGTACTCGAAATACGCATACTTCTCTCGATTTTCCGGATGCTGATCATGGGCTTACCAGTCTAGCTTGATGCTTCCGGCAGCAGAAGAATCAGCGCTCCCTCTATCAGTCCCATCCCCCTCCATTCTTCCTTCATCTTCCCTCCCGCTACCCCTTCCCTCCTCTCCTCCTGCTGATTCCACAGGCGTGCCACCACCTGCCACGCTTCCATTCTCACTGCTGCCTTGTGCTGCTCGCGGAGCAGCCTGTAACGGGGGTTGCTGCAACACTTGCCCTCCCCCCGCCACCCCTCCCCCCGCCGCCGCTCCCGCCGCCGCCGCTTCCCCTGCCGCCGCTTCCCCCGCCGCCGCGCCCCCCGCGGCGACGTTGAGCTCGTCTTCCAGGGCCGCAACGCGCCCCACCACCGCCCCGCCTTCCTCCATCTCATGCAGCATCCGCCCCTCGCGCCTTCCGCACCCCACGCCTGCCAGGTACCGCCTCCTTTCACCCGCGCCTCTGGCCCACCATCCCAGTTCATTGCGCGCGATGTCCGCGCCAGTGCCCGCTCCCACTTGCGCGCGCGGCATTGCTCCGACTCCGCCTGCGCATTCTTCCGCCAGCGGCTGCTTCCATGCCGCTTCCGCTCCTAATGCCGCCCCTGCCGCTGCTGCTCCCGCCGCTGTTCCTGCCGTTGTTCCCGCTGCTGCTTCCCGTATAGGTTCGGTCGCTGCTGCTCGTATTCGTCTCGCGATGCACGCAATAACGAGGACAACGAGCACGACTGCGACCAGGGTCGGTCGCTCACGACGCCCAAGCTGCATCGTTGCGGGTTACCAAATGCAACGAGAAAAATCGCAAACGAATGGTTACCCTTTCCACGCTACATCGCAGGTGCTTCAAAGTGAAAGGCCGCTGGGCTGGACAGCACGTCGCTTCGGTGCGAGCCGAAGGTCTAACGATCCGCTCAGCGCCTCGACAGGCCGGCGAAACAGGTCTAAGGACGTGGCCAGGTGGTTGTACGTCTAAACCTCGGAAACCGCTTCCCACCGTCTGAAACGGCCCTGAGCCACGAAGCATCAAATACTGTGAATGTAGGTACTGGTTCAACCCAACCCAACCAATGTATGCCGTAATGCCACTTTATTCTCAGCTTTATTTCAAGTGCTTGTCTGCCCAGCAATGGCAGTATTTGATTTGTGGACCTATGGCATGGCATGGCATGGTATGGTATGGTATGATACACGAGCAGCAGCATTGTGATTTGTGACTCAGCTGAGGCTGCTTATGTGCTGTACCGTACCAACAGCAAAAGCAATTCCTTCGCACTACTTAAGGCGTATTCCTATCCTCCTATCAAGAAAACCTCTTATCAAGCCCACACAGGAAAATTGCCTAAACCCAAAATCTCTCACCAGGCAAAATGTGCATTCTTGATAGGAGGTTTCTTGATAGGAGGCCGTAGGAATACGCCCCTAGGGATCTACCGTAAGCCATTAGTTGTCAGAATGTGATGTTTGTGTAGCCTGCAGTGGGGTACTCTATAGCGAGTACAGCCCGAATTAGGGTTTGCTATATTTACTCAACTACATGCTAGTGAAAACCCCTCTCCTGTTTCTAACTTTTGCCTAGCTATTTCGACATTAGTAACTACTGTACCAGTCACAGCTACCTTACCAACAGCAGCACATCCCACCCAACCCAACCCAACCCAAGCATGCAAGCAGCAGCAGCAGAAACAGTCCACATGGGTATCCTTTCTTCATCCTTGCATCACTCACTCTTCAATCAGGTACGGTACTCCCATCTCCACTCCACTCCATCCATACCCCCCATTGGCAAACACCCTATTTCAACCCCCCCTGCCCCCCTAAACACGCATGGGACAGGATCAGGCAGCATCAGGTCAGGAGTTTTGAGACGTCTCAGCACCCAGCAGCACGCAGCAGCAGAAGCCCTCTCAGAACGTGTCCCAGCTAAGCCCCTACTGGAGCGTGTCGAGGACTGATCGACTGCCTGCCTGCTGGATTGACTGCCTGCCTGCTGGATTGACTGCCTGCCTGCTGGATTGACTGCCTGCCTGCTGGATTGACTGCCTGCCTGACTGCCAGGCTGCCTCTGGCTCTCTACCAGCTCACAACAAGTCACAATGCCCGTGCGTCAGCGTCAGCATCAGTTTCCTCCCCCTCTCCCTCTCCTTCCCCGCCTCCCTTGCCCTCCCACAGGGCCTCAACCTTGTACCTCCGCCTACCCTCTTCCGTCATCACATGCACCACCGTGCGCCCTGCACCCACACACACAGCAGCATTGGAGTGGAAATAGGAGGGAACGGGAGAACGAGGGGGCGGGGGAAGTTTAGAAAAGCACCTAAGAAGAGGCTTCCTCCTCCGTCATCACATGTGCCACCGTGCGCCCTGCACCCACACACACAGAAAACGTTGTGGTGGAAGAACTGTGGTGGTGTGGTGATGAGCAGGATGACTGAGGGAGGGTGTCAAAAGCATGCCATGTGCACTGTGATGTGAGTCCCACTCACAGCAGCAACGCATCATCATCGGTAGGGTCAACCAGTCCCCCCATCTTCACTTACCCCACTTCCCCTACTTACCCCTTTCATCCCCCACAAGGGTGAAGCAGCACCCCTCCGTCCCCCCTCACCCTTTCTTCCCATCCCCCCAACCCCACCCTCCCCACACCCCCCCTCGTCTCCCCTCCCTTCCCCCCCCCAACTGACCACACTCCAGCAGCATCCAGTGCTCCGCATCCTTGCCCTCCACCTCTGGATTGATCCTCAGCGTGAAACAGCTTCCTCACTGCCGCCCCCCCACCCTCCCCTCCTCATGCCCACCCTCCCGCCCTCCCCTGGAACCTCCCTCCAACCCCCCCAACCCCCCCACCCCCCACCCCACCCCCCCACTGACCGCAGTCCAGCAGCATCCAGTGCTCCGCCTCTTTTCCCTCCACCTCTGGCGCACGCGCTGCCATGCCCTCCCTCACATATCGCTGCTTCAACTGGCGCGCACGGCACGGTGTGAGGGTGACAGGATGAGAGGAGGACATGGGACGTGGAGAAGGGGAGATAGGGTGCGAAAAGGGGAGGTTTGGGATGGCTGAAACTGGTGGAAAAATATGCGTGGAGGAGTAGAGGGTGGAGGGGAGAGGAGTTCGACAGAGTAAAGAGTAGAGTGAGCTGTGAGGCTGGGGGTAAATGAGGGGTGGAATCACTGGAATGGGCGGGGCAGAGAGGCAGGAGAACGGCAACATAACCACATAATAAAACATTCGTTGTGAGACATGCAGCTGAATGAACCGCGCATGTGCTCACTCGAGGTAAGGAAACACCCTGCGTGTTTTATCGTGCTGCCTCGAGCCGCTTCCTCATCTTCTCTCCAGGCAAGCAGAGCAGCAAGCCTGGCCATGTATTTCGAGTTGACTTCGCACTCAAATATATCTGTGAGCTCCAAGAACTTAACCACGAGTTTATGTCTTCCATTTTTTTTAAGAAACCTCTCCTCTCCTCCAAATGCTGTTTATTGTTACCACACAAAATTACCCGTCCGGTACTTTGCGCGCACGGCTGGAGGCACAGCAAGGCACAGCGGCAATCCGCGCATGCAGTTCAGCAGCCGGGCATGGCGGGTGGTCGGGTGGGCGGGCGTGTGTTCCACAGCAAGCAATCAGCCATGCGGCTGTTTCAGGGGCGGGGCTGGGTCAGCTGTCTGGCAAGGCGCGGGTGGGTTCAGGGCAAGGCCCATAACAGCTAAAGCTTCAAACGCAACGCATCTCATACGCCAGCCCTGCAGCGAGCCCTCTGGCGTGGCGCGTGGAGTGAGTGGGCCGTGGCGAGCACACTGGGGGGACACACACGGGATGCAACGCTAGCTTCACGTCACGGCTCCTGAACATGAAGTTCAGATTGCGTCACACTAGATGAACACCACAGGACACCCTAGAGTTTCGTGCACGCGCGCACCTCGTAGGCCAGCCCTGCAGCAAGCCCTCTGGCGTGGCGTGTGGAGTGGGCCGTGGCGAGCACGAGGTGCTCCGCCCACTGGCAGCGCCCTGCCACATGCAGTATGCGGATGTCCCGCGCTCGCCCCTTGGTCAGTAGCTGCACCGCCTCTGATGGGGTGAGGCACGGCAGGCGTGCTGATGGCTGGAGGGTGCGGGTGAGCGAGGAGGGGATGGGAGGGGCGTGGAGGGGAGAGGAGGGGACGAGGTAATGGAGGAGAAACGGGAGGACGAAGGGGAGGAGAAAGAGAGGAGGAAAGGGAGGAAAGGAGGAGGGAGGGAGGAGAGAGAGAGGAGGGAGGGAGGAGAGGAGCAGGGGAGGAAGCAAGAAAGGAGTAGTAACAGAAGGAGAGTGTGAGAAGGGCAGGAGAAACCAGACAGGCACACCTGACTGCCTGCTCCTCAGCAGAACACTACGCAGCCCCCGCAATGCACAAGAGAGGAGAAACTGAGGCGAGAGCGTTGCAAACGAGGGAGAGAGGACAGGCGAGGGGGGAGGGAAGAAGAGGGGAAGAAAAGTGGGATTCGCGTGGGGCCTTGTGTGGGTGAAAGGAGCAGGCATGAGAAAGGGAGAAGGCGGGGGGGAGGAAGGAGGGGCCTACGGTCCATGCACGAGTAGTGGTCGGTCGCATGGGCGCAGCAGAGCAGAGCAGAGGCAGGGGCGAGAGAGGGTGGAGTGGGAGGATGTGGAATAAGAGGGTGGAATGAGAGAGGGTGGAGTGAGAGAGAGTGGAGGGAGAGAGAGTGGAGGGAGAGAGAGAGTGGAGCGAAAGCGGTGGGGAACGGAGAGGCGACGGTGAGGAGCGGATGGGCATGAGTGAAATCAGAAAGGGAAGGGAGGGACGGGAAGAAGAAGGGAGGGAACGAGGGGAAGGGAGGGAGGGAGGAGGGGAAGAGGGGGAAATACAAGGGAAAGGGAGGGAAGGAGAAGGGGACTGGGAAGAGTGGGTAGGAGAAGGGGAAGGGGAATCGGAAGGGAGGGAAGAATTACGAGTAGTACCAGGCCAGAGGGGTGCCATGATAGATCCACACTTGCGTCGCCTTCCTCTTGCCCCGCCTCCACATCCCGTTCCCTTCTCTCTACCTCATCACCTCCCGCTTCCCCTCCCTTCTCTGGGTGCCCTCCAAGCTCCCCTGAAACGACTACCTCCTCCTCCTCGCCCGCACCTCCTTCCCTTCCACTCGCATCATCGCCGTACCATCTCCGCCCCCCGTCCATTGGCCGCGGAATGCGCGCGGTGATCCGCCGTGCGGACCCGCGCCCAGAGTCGCCGGCGAGGGGTGCGGAATGAGCGTGGGGGGAGGGATGCGCGGAATGAGCGGAGCGAGGGGGGTGAGCGGAATAGGAGGAGCGAGAAGGATGCGCGAGATACGCGGGGAAGGCGGAAAGAACGGGAAACGGCGAGATTGCGGAGGAGGTCGGGGGAGCGGCGAAGGGGCCAGCGCTACTCGCGGGGGCGCGACAGCAGAGATCCGCGCGAGCAGCGGGAATGAGGGCGATGGCGGAGGCGAGAGCAGTGGCGCACGGCGCAGATGGGGGAGCGGACGTGCTAACAGTAGTCGCAGCTGTAGCAGTAGTAACAGGAGGTGTAGGTATAGCAGGAGTGGTGGTTGTAGCAGTGGTAGTGGTGGACGGCGATGCGTCGATCAACAGTGCACGCACGTGTCGCCGCGGTGCGTGGCCACACGACCGGCTTGTAACGAGACGAAGCATGGCTAGTAGCGCGGACGAACAATGGCTGGCCGCGGTGTGGGGTCTGGGGAGACGGGCTTCTTGTAGGGGTTCCTAACGCGGTTCAGTTTCCCTCGATATTTGCGCTAAGCTCATAGAATTAGCTGGTTGTTTAAGTAATAAAATCGTAGATAAATCTATCGCATGCAATGATGCAGAGCCACGTTCATATAACGGGTGGAAAAGTATTCACTGTACCAGAGTAGCATCATCTTGCACACTGCTACACTTCAAGCTGCATGCTTGAGAAGCTGGAGCACCACCATACCATCTTGAATTGATTGACATGTTCATGCATACACCGGTTGTATTGTACCAGTAAAACACGAATTAAATAAATCAGGACGACGAGGACGAGGAAGCAGAGGAGGAGGACGACGAAGGTGAGGCGGATGATGATGACGATGCCTCAGAGGAGAACGAAGAGTCGGAGGAGGCTGAGGAGGTGGAGGAGGTGGAGGAGGTGGAGGAGGAGGCGGAAGGAGGGGGGGCCAAGGGAGCAAGCATGTCCTGCAGCGCCTGGGTGATAGTGGCTGCTTTGTACGTGAAGAAGCCCACCAGCATGGGGATGAGCTCTAGCGGCACTGCTCCGTACTGTGGCACCGCAATCCTGCGCGCAGGGGACAGAGGAGCGAGCAGGTATGGGAGAGAGGGTGAGGAGAGAAGGATGCGTGTGATGAGCTCCAAGGGCACTGCTCCGTACTGCGGCACCGCAATCCTCAAAGCAGAGGGCATAGGGAGAGGTAGGAGGGACAGGTATTGAAGCAAGCATGTCCTGTAATGCCTGGGTGATAGTGGCTGCTTTGTACGTGAAGAAGCCCACCAGCATGGGGATGAGCTCTAGCGGCACTGCTCCGTACTGCGGCACCGCAATCCTGAAAGCAGAGGGCATAGGGAGAGGTAGGAGGGACAGGTATTGAAGCAAGCATGTCCTGTAATGCCTGGGTGATAGTGGCTGCTTTGTACGTGAAGAAGCCCACCAGCATGGGGATGAGCTCTAGCGGCACTGCTCCGTACTGCGGCACCGCAATCCTGCGCGTAGGGGGCAGAGGGGTGAGCAGGTACGGGAGAGAGGGATGCGTGTGATGAGAGGGGGGGAAGGAGTATGAGAGGGGAGTGAAGAAGCCCACCAGCATAGGGATGAGCTCTAAAGGCACTGCTCCGTACTGCGGCACCGAAATCCTGTGCGCAGGGGGCAGAGGGAGTGAGAGAGGGGGGGGAACGAGAGCAGCAGGGGAAGGAGGATGAGAGGAGGGTGAAGAAGCCCGCGAGGATGGGGATGAGCTCTAGAGGCACGGCTCCGTACTGCGGCACCGCAATCCTGAAAGCAGGGGGCAGAGGGGCGAGCAGGTACGGGAGAGAGGGCGGGGAGAGAGGGTGGGGAGAGAAGGATGCGTGTGATGAGCTCCAGCGGCACTGCTCTGTTCTGCGGCACCAGAATTCTGTGCGCAGGGGGCAGAGGGGCGAGCGTGAAACGGGAGAGAGGGTGGGGAGAGATGGATGTATGAAGGAGAGAAAGGGGATGGGAAGATGGTGAGATGGTGTTGCGAATGTATAAGCGTATGGGACGATATGTGAGGTGTATGCCATCATCACAACATGCCATCATCACAACATGCCATCATCACACCATGCCATCATCACACCATGCCATCATGCCATGAAGCCATCATGCCACTACCCCACAACCACACAGCTTACTCGTTCCATCTGTTGAATGCCATGACTAGCACCACTGGCACCAGCAGCCTAGGCTGACCCACAGCTCCCCTGCCGTGCACCATTGATGGTGCACAACATGGGGGAGCGAGAAGGAAAGAGGAGGAGAGAGGGGAAGAGAGGAGGAGAGAGATGGAGAGAAGAGAAAGATGATACGAGAGGCGAGAGGAGAGAGGGGGAAAAAGGGGAAATTGAAGAGAAGAGGAGGACAGTTGGTAAGAGGCAAGGCAAGTACGAAGGAATCAGATGCATGAACGGCAAACCAAGAGCCAAAGAGATACGGGTCAAGGAGCTACTGCCCGCCAAGCTGGTCGCATCCTCATTCCACACAACCCCTTACGCATAGCTCGCAACACAGAGCCGAGACTTAGCACATAACAGTGGCCTGATGCAGAGTGAGGCCGTGAGCAAGTGTGCATCTGTTGCATAGTGAGGGAGTGTGCAAGTGCCTTGCACCTGACAGCGCCTTGCACATTGTTGGCTCCCAGAGCCTCCACACTAGAGGAGAGCATGCGCACATAAACCAGTGACCCCACCGCTCCCACCCCGTAACTGCTCGGAGGGCACACACACATATGCACGCACGCACGACAGGGAGGGCGGACAGGGAACAAGGCGTAGAGGAAAGTGAATTCTGGATCAACCCTTTATATTGGCCTCCACACTGGACGGGAGCATGCGCACACACAGCAGTGACCCCACTGCCCCCACTGCGTGGCATGGCAGGGCTGGCAGACAGGGAGTGGGGGAGAGAGCAAGGGAGGAGGGAACGTGTGTGGAGGGGAGAGCTGGAAGGAGGTGGATGGGCCGGAAGGATTGCACAAGCACGACCAGCCGTTTACTGCTCGTGCTTGTGCAATCCTCCTCAACCCTCCTTCTCCCCCACCCTCCCACTCCCAACGTCTCCCTCTCCTCACTCCTCACCCTCTACCACTCCTCCCTTTCTCCTCTCCTCCGTTTCCCTGATCCTCCCACTCCCAGTCCTCCCTCTCCCCGCTCCTCGCCGCCTCACCTGACAGCAACCTCAGGGCTGTAGAGCACAGCAGCAGTGCCGGTGAACACCACCCCCAGCCCCAGCGTCGTTAGCAGCAGGCTCTGCTTCAGCTGCACTCGTTGCATGAACAGATAATGAGAACAAATGACAGAGCAGGCAATGAAAAGAGGAGGGGGGGGGGGGGGAGGGGGGGAAAGGAGCGGGGCGGGGGCAGGGGAAGGGAGGGCGGGATAGGAGTGTAAATGCGTGAATAGGGTTTGACGCAGTGCCCTGTGAATGCCACTCCCAGCCCCAGCGTCGTCAGCAGCAGGCTCTGTTTCAGCTGCACTCATTGCATGAGCAGACAATGAAAACAAAAGGAGGGGAGAGGAGGGGAGGAGACAATGAAAAGAGGGGAAAGAGGAGGGGAGGGGAGCGGGGGCGGGAGAAGAGCGGGCGGGACAGGGGTGTAAAGGCGTGAATAGGGTTTGAGGCAGTGCCCTGTGAACGGCACCCCCAGCCCCAGCGTCGTCAGCAGCAGGCTCTGCTTCAGCTGCACTCATTCCGAGTTGAGGCAGGAAGGAGGGGGGAAATGTGGATAGGCAGAATTGAGGCAGTGAAAACAAAGGTAGGGGTGGGTAGGGTAGGGTAGGGTAGGGTGTAACTTTGGTTGAATCACTTTTGAGAATTCTCAAAGGCAGGGTATAACCCCCGACAGGAGGAAAGATGACTATAGAGTTGGCTCAGAAATCACTTTTATTCTCAAAGGTAGGGTATAACCGTAGACAGGAGACAACAAGTGTGATTTGTGGGGAGGGGTGTGGGAAGTGGGTAGGAAGGGGTGGAAGGGGGGGTTTGGGGGGGATGTGTGCGTGGACACGTGTGTGCATGCATAGGAGACAACAACAGGGTGAAGGGGGGAATTTTGCGGTGCTCTTCTTGGTTATGAATCGACACTAGGTAGCCAAGGCCCCTGGTTCCAATCGAAACCACGAGCCCAGCGCCCGTCGTCCCAAGCCCTTCCCCCCCTGTCTCACCCCCCTTCGCTCGCCCTTCGTCCCTCGGCCCCGTCCCTCGCCCCCGTCCCTCGGCCCTGTCCCTCACCCGTCGCCCCTAGGCCCCCCCGCTGCCGCTCGCCCCAAGCCCCCATCCATCCCTCACCCCGTGCACCTGACCCAGTGCCCCCCACACCCCTAGTCCCTAGCCCAACGGGTTAAGTCAACGTGAATGAAGGGCGGGTGGGTGTGTCACCTTCTCATACTGCTGCTTCTCCCGCTGAGCTATCTGCTCCGGGGTGAGCGGCTCCTCCTTCTCCACAAACGCCGTCTGTCGTGCACACACAGGGGGAAACAGCAGTGCAGGGGGGGAAAGGGGGGGGGCGAGCAGGAGACAGAGAAAGGCGGGGTTTGAGGGAGCCTCTAAGAAGCTCTCCCGCTGTGCTATCTGCTCCGGGGTGCGAGGCTCCTCCTTCTCCACAAACGCCGTCTGTTGCCGACACACAGGAGACGAGAGAGTGTGGGGAGAGAGGAAACGGGGGGAAGCGGGGGGTTGGGGGGGGGGGGGGGATTTGGGGTTTCGAGATGGACGACGGGGATGGGAGAGAGGGTGAAGGCGCGAAAGTGAGGTGCACATCAGTACACAACAGTCTAAGATTTGAGGAGTGTGGGGTGAGAAAGAGAGGGATCACTGCGTGCAAGGAAGAAGCAAGAGAAGAGCAAGGTTAAAAAAGACGGTTTCCGTATTTAACGGTCCGTTTTTTACGGTAATTTTCCAAAAAAAACGGCATATTTTTTTTAGAGAATTTCTGTCGCCAAGAAAATAGGGGAAAACAAGGTCGGATCCATTTTTAATCATGCCGACAAGTGCACGCATGCAAGGAGGGGTTCGTCCTCTTCATCCTGATACCTTTCGCCATCAATTTGGTCCCCACATCAGCCGCTTTTTTCTTCAAACATAGAGGAAACACCTCCTGGAACCGTTTTAAACCGTTTTTTACGACCGTTTTTTACGGTACCGTTTTTTACGGTAAAATTTCAATAATACGGTCGTTTTTTTCAACCTTGGAGAAGAGAACGGGAGCGGAGACAAATGACGAATCGGGGCTCGAGTTCAAGTCTGATTCAAAGGGTAATCTGGACAGGACAGGACCGGACAGAATACATTTGTATGGAAGCAAAACCATTCGAATCGGAGAGTTGCTAAATTTTTGGAGAGGAGGCATGTGGAATCTCCACAGTGGAAAGGAGGAGTTGAATGACTCACAACCATCTTGGCGCTCCTCTTGTTGGCCTCAGCCCACTGGCGCTCCTCCTTGCTGGTTGGGGCATAGCGCCACTTGATCTTGCCCTCACTGCTCCCCTGCTGTGCCTGTGCCGTGTACACACAACAGATACACAGCAGATACGCAGCAGAAACGCATGCGCACACATCCCACACATGCATACATGCGCACATGGCACACACAGAGCATCATAGACAGGTACACGGCACACACACATGATAGCACCTTTGAGAATTCTCGAAAACGAGACATCCACTCTATGAAAAGCCTACTAAAACAAAAAAAATCCAAAAGACCATTCTCAAACATGATCCATCAATACAAATCCCCTGACTCGCATCTATTTCACCATTTCCCTCCACTACCCACCCTTTTACCCCCCACGCATCCTCCTCTCCCTCCCTCACTGCCCCTACCCGTCTTCTTTCCCCTGCCCCTGCCCCTTCTTCCTTCCCGGTGCCCCTGCTGCTACTTACCCTCCTCCACAACCCCGAGGCCCCCTCACCTCCTGCCTCTCCCTCCCCCACTCCCCGCCTGCATGACTGCTGCACAGAGTGCTGCCGTCCGTCACCTGCTTCTCCACCAGAATGGCCTTTCATATTTTTCATCTATCCTGTCTATTAGCATTCTCATTATGCCCTGCTCGGCCCGTGCCGTGCCCATGCCCATGCCCGTGCCCATGCCCCTGCCCCTGCCCATGCCCATGCCCATGCCCATGCCCATGCCCGTGCCCGTGCCCGTGCCCGTGCCCGTGCCCGTGCCCGTGCCCGTGCCCGTGCCCGTGCCCATGCCCATACCCCTGCCCCTGCCCTTTTCCATGCCCATGCCCATGCCCCTGCCCGTTTCCCCCTCCCCCCTCCCCCCACGCACCTGCATGCCTGCAGCGCGGCGGGCTGCCTCCACCTGCTTCTCCAGAGTGGCCTTGCTGGGCCGGCTCAGCTCCGCGCTCAGATCCACGTCCATGCTGGTGGGGTGAGGGGGAAGTGGTGGGGAGAAGGGCGGAGCGGAGAGAGTGGTTACACCAGGGTGGCTTTTCTTCTCCAGAGTGGCCTTGCTGGGTCGGCTCAGCTCCGCACTCAGGTCCACGCCGATGCTGCCAGCCGGCCGTGAAAGGGGGGGATGGAGGGATGTGAGGAAGGGATGGGTGATGTGAGGGGTGGATGGGTGATGAAGGGGTGCGCGCACGAGCGAGAGAGAAAATAAGGTGGGTGCGAGTGGTGAGAGTGACATGTTGGGAGCAAGCAAGCAAGGAAGCAAGCAGCGCAGCATCACCTCCTCCTCCTCTGGCTATTGTCATATGGGAGTGAGCTGAATGACCTGTCACGTGACAAAAGCCGCCAAGCGCGCTCAAGTGCTCGCACGCGCACGCGCGGCGGAGAGAGAGAATCTCTTAATCGACTCAAACATCACCTAGCACAAGGTATTGTATTGTCACGCGAACGCGGATGCAGGTGACTGACCGACTGACCTGTCGAGGGCAAGCGAGCGGCCAAGGGAGAGGAAGCCGCCGTTGGAAGTGCCCGGGTCGTTGGACGACACGGCTGACGCGATTGGGTCCTCCGCTGCTGCCTGGGGGAGTACACACGGATGGGTGGGGGAGGGGTCACTTTTGAGAACTCTAAAAGCGAGAGGAAGCCGTTTGAAGTGCCAGGGTCGTTGAAGGAGACGGCTGACGCGATTGGGTCCTCCTCTGCCGCCTGAGAGACACGCACGGATGGGTGGTAGTTGGGGAGACACGGGCAACGCAACACGGAGTAGGGGTGACAGGGAATGGGGGAGCACGTGTTGGGGGAGCGCGGGTTGGGGGAACGTGGGTTGGGGGCACGCATGGGTGGGAGAAAGGGGGGGTTGGACGCACACAAAGTGTTGTGCATTCGCTCCAACCCCCCATTCGCTTAGGACCTTTGTGGTGTGGTCACACCAACACTGTTGCCGTATTGTTACGATAGCAGCGTTACCGTCAACAATGCAATACAGTACACTACAGCACAAAGCATCGTCACCGCTCCGCTCCACTACATCACACTGCCTCACCCTCTCCATCCAACGCCACACCACACCACGCCACGCCACGCCGCGCCACACCACACCACTCCACGCCACACCAAACCGTACCATACCACACCACGCCGCACTACCTTGTTCTTGTCAGCATCGTCCACCGTGACGGTTTTTTTCCACTCCGTGTTCCAGATATACTCGCCCGACTCCAACGGAACCTCCTCCTTCCTTGAGTCGACTCAAAAATCGGCTTGCCTCAACGCCACACGCCAAACCACGCCACGTCACACCACACCGTACCACACCACACCGCACCGCACCACACCGTACCACACCACGCCGCAGTACCTTGTTCTTGTCAGCATCGTCCACCGTGACGGTTTTCTTCCACTCCGTATTCCAGATATACTCGCCCGATTCCAACGGATCCTCCTCCTTCCCGCCCCACGTTTGCCGAATGCGCTTGTCGAGCGGCGCGCCGCCGTACCGCCCCGGCGCGGGGACCTTCCCCGTGCTCGGCGGCTCCTGCGGCGGCGGCGGCGGCGGGGGGGCCCGCGGGCGGAGGAAGAAGATGTTGGAGATCGGGGGGAGCGCGGAGGGGGAGGCCGCGCGGGGTGGTGGCGCTACCGCGCGCGCGCGGAGCGGAACGGAAGCGGAGAAGAATGCGCTCTTGTGCGCTGGAAGGGTGGCGGAGAGTCGATCCATGATGGTTCGACAAAGATCCCACGAAAGGTGGCGAAGTATTTCCCAGCAATAGGGGAATCACTGCGGATGGCTCACAGCGAAACAGTTAAATAGGTAATAGACGACTAGAAATTTTGTAAGCCGCAATTTGGAGAATGGTATATGCGGGATGGGAGGAGCAACGCCGTACGTTGTAGCGATTGGAGGCTGCAGCGAGCAACATAAAAAAGGTTCAGAGGAATGAGAAGGGAGTTTCCAAGGGAGAGAAAGTCCCAAGGGTGTGCACCTTGCTAGAGGGGACGATGAGTTACCGCACTGTATCTTGCAAAAACACAAATGATAGCAAAGGACCGTGCTGAATTTCACAACTGGGCCTTGCTTTGGGAGCTGAGCGCGTGACGACAAACGTCTCTCCTTGCTGGGAATACCGCGAAAATCTGCGCAATGTCGATAGCTGTCAGTCGCCTAAAGGTCGCTCGCTTCAAGGTTTAGCCAATCAGCATGGAGAGTTTTGCCACGTCCAACCCAACGGCCATACATGCTCTGCACAATCTGCCCTGTAACCACACGGAGCATTTTTTAGATCTGGTTACTCGTGTCGGGAAACATTTCGACAACGTTGGCCCTCGCAAGGGATGTGGATGAGAGGAGGATACCCATGCTTCAACAACCAAACCCTAACCCTCCCTGCGATCCGGAAACACGACCACATCGCGTCGGGCTCAGTTTGTTCTCCCCCGAAACCTGAGATCGCAGAGCAGGAATTTCGTCTTGACAGACGCAGGACCAGCACTTAGTTAAGTACCACAATTCCTTGGGCAGTGTACTTTACCTGTGTTGTTTTTGCCAGGTCGTCGCCACCAGCTTGTGCTGTGCTTCGGAATCGAGGCAGGACCCGACCCATCGGCACGACAGCCGCCTTCCTCTGGGCCAAACCCCCCTCGCTCCCTCCCGACAGTTTTCTCTCGACATTGGGATGATTGGTCGCTTGCACCTGCTCGCTCCAGCAGCGTCCTTATTTTACGATTCCGTAGCTTACGCATGCATTTTTAATGCTTAGAATAGCGGTTCCTATCTTTCTTATCTCGTGTAACATCGCGGTGATTTTCCTAGATATTGCGTCTCGAAATCTCCCGCTTGGTGGCACCCGCGATTTCACCCTGATCTGACGTGTCTTTTTTTTTTATTTTTTTTTCTGGGTCTTCCAGCTCGCCTGCATCTCGTTATGACGTTTGTTTCTTAAAAAAATCGCTTAACGCAGTGCAGATACTTTACTCCGTCTATCTTTGCAGGAGCGCGAACGGGCTCGTGCGGCCCAGCATCTTTAGTAGCTGATATCTTCAGCTTAAACTCTCTCCGCTCTCCGTCTTAACGGATCTGCCCGCAAATTTTGTCATCCTTTGCTCTGCAAACACGTGGCATGCAGTGAGTGGTCATGCGGCCGTCGCCGGCAACGCCTGCAGGCGACCCGCCACCATCGCGGCGGAGGGCGGCAGCGGCGGCCGCCGCCAATCCACCATCTGGCGGCGACCCCTCTCCGCAAACCCCCGGTTCCGGGGGAAGATCCCGCGGCGCGCGGCAGCAGTCGCGGCTGCACGCGCGGCAGCGGCATGAGGGCTCACCGTCCGCGCTAGAAGCCTCTCCGCGTGGAGCAACCGGCGCAGTAGTAGATTTAACGGGCTCGGGGGGGACTACAGCTGCTGCTCCTGGCAGCGCAGGAGCGGCGGCGTCCGCCTCCCCGGCCTCCGCGGGGGGCAGCGCGCGGAGGAAGCGGGGGAGACGGGAGCTGGACGCGCTGCTTGGCGCTGGGGGAAAGGGTGGCGCAGGCAGTCCCCGCCAAGGGGGGAGCCCGGATCTGGAAGGATGGGAGGGTCGGCGGAGCATGCGGCGCTTGAGTGGGGGAGGGGGAAGGGGAGGGGGAAGGACGGCGGAGAGGGGCGGAGGGGAGTTCGCCACAGAGGATGATGTGGCGGCAGGGGGGAAGCAGCGGAAGGGGGCGGGGAAGGACGATCGGAAGGAGCATGAGGATGCGGGGGGAGAGGTGGAGAGTGAGGAGGAGGAAAGGGAGGGTGAAAAGGAGTCGTGGGCAGAGAGGGGGACAGGAAGAGGTGCTATTGGCAGGGGAACAAGGGGGAGGGGTAGGGGTGGGAGAGGGGGTGTTGCGGGCCCGAGTGGAGGAACGGGGCGGGGGGTGGGAGGGATGAGAGGGAGGGGGCGAGGCAGCGTGAGAGGGAGAGGACGATGGGGACGAAGATGGGCAGCGGGGCGTGGAAGAGGAGAGGGGAGGGGAGTGAAAGAGGTGGATGAAGAGGAAGAGAAGGACGAGGAGGAAGAGGAAGAGGAGGAAGAGGAGGAGGAGGAAGAAGATAAGGAGGAGGAAGAAGAGGAAGAAGAGGAAGAAGAGGAGGAAGAAGAAGAGAAAGAAGAGGAGGAGGAAGAGGAGGAGGAGGTGGGCGGGGTGGAGGGGGGAGAAGGGGGTGTGGATCTGGCGGTAGGGAGTGAAGGAGGAGAAGACGAGGGGAGTGACGAGCGTGTGAGAAAGGAGAGGATGACGAGGAGAAGAGGGAAGGTTAAGGGGACGGGCGTGTTGGAAACTGGTGGGGTGAAGGAGGTGTTAGTAGGGGAGGAAAAAGAGGGGAGGGAGGGGGAGAAAGAGGACAGAGAAGGGGAAAAGGCGGAACGAGCAGAGGAAGATAAGAGCAAGAAAGGAAAGCAGGAGGGCCGGGGAAAGGGAGGGCGTGTGGAGGAAGGTGGCGGGAGGGAAGCGAGGAGTAGTGAGGGTCTGAGTGCCCAGGATTTGTTGTTGAGGAAGAAAGGAAACGGCGCCAGAATTAGTGTGTGTGTGACAGTTGAGGGGCAGAGGGAGAGAGAGGAGCAGAAAGAGAGAGAGGTGCATAAAGAGAAAGAGGTGCAAAAAGAGAGAGAGGAGCAGAAAGGGCGGCAGAAAGAGAGAGAAGGGGAGAAAGAGAGAGAAGGAAAGATAGAAAGAGAGGAACAAGGGGGAACGGAGGAGCAGCGAGGGAGGGAGGTGAAGGGAGTGAGGGGACAGGGGAAGGCAGGAGGGAGCAGGCAAAGGGTGGGCGCCCATGCGAGATTGGATAGAGCTGAACGTGGGGGGCAGCCTGGGCAGGGTAAGAAGAGAGAAAGTGCAGTTCTTGAGTCGACCAAAAAATCGCGTGCGAGCTTGAACGCGGTGGAAGGAGAGGGGCTGGGTAAGAAGGGAGAGAGTGTGGAGCGTGGTTCGATGAGTGAAGGAGATGTGTGCGAGGTGGTTGCTGGGAGAGAGGATGGTGGGACCGGTGGCGATGGTGAGAGAGGGAGTAAGGGCAGAGGTGAGAGTGAGAGTGAGGGTGAGGGTGAGAGTGAGGGCGAGGGTGGGAGTGGGAAGACAGGAATGGATACCGACGGGGTTGTTGAGATACAAGGAAGTGCAGAAAGGGCGAGACAGGCAGGAGGAAGGTTGAGAGGTGAGGAAGAGGTGAAGGAGGGTGGGGTGAGTGTGGAGGGTGGGGTGAGTGTGGAGGGTGGGGTGAGTGTGGAGGGTGGGGTGAGTGTGGAGGGTGGGGTGAGTGTGGAGGGTGGGGTGAGTGTGGAGGGTGGGGTGAGTGTGGAGGGTGGGGTGAGTGTGGAGGGTGGGGTGAGTGTGGAGGGTGGGGTGAGTGTGGAGGGTGGTGTGGATGACTTGAGGGGGGGTAGGTTGAGAATGCGGAGATGGAGTGAGGTGGTGGGGGAGGGTGGTTGGGGTGGTGGCAGGAGGGATGTGCGCGGGGAGAGAGGGCGGGAGAGGAGAGGGCGCGGAAGGGAGGGGAGGGAGCGAGGGGCGAGAGGGAAGAGTGCAGGGCTGTGGGGCGCAAGGGTGGTGCGTCCGCAACGGCGAGTGGGTAAAGAGAAGGAGAGAGAGAAGGACAGGGAGGGGGGAGGAGAGGGGGAGGAGGGAGGAAGTGAAGGGCAGGATGAGGAGGACGTGTGGTTGATTCCTAGCGGGGAGGAAGAGGGAGGGGGTGTTGATGCAGATGAGGAGGAGGAGAAAGAGAAGGAGGAGGAGGTGGAGGAGGAGGAGGTGGTTGAGAGGGCAGGGAAGGAGCAGAGGGGCAGAGGAAGACGTGGTGGGGATGAGGCAGCAGAGGAGGAGGAAGATGTGGAGGAGGTGACTCCGGTGAGGAGTGGTGGGAAGGAGTGGAGAGAGCATGAAGGAAAGGGGCTGGGTGAGGATGTGAATGATGAAGAGACGGAGGAGGCAGAGGAAGAATTGGAGGTGGGGCAGAAGGAGAAGGAGAAGGAGAAGGGGGAAAAGGAGGAGGAGGAGGTAGAGGAGGAAGAGGAAGGGCGAGCATGCGTGAGGATGATGGGAGGGAGAGTGTAAGCGGGTGGAGGGGGAGGGAGAGGAGGAAAACGAGAGGGCGAGAGGAAGGTGTGAGGCGAGGAGGCAAGGCAAAGGCAGTTGGTGATTGGTCAGGAGAAGTGGACGTGCTGGAAACTGGGGAGCAGCAGCAGCCGCAGCTGCAGCAGCAGCAGCAGCAGCAGCAGGAACAGCAGCCGCAGGATATGGCTAGGGGTGTGGGAGAGAGGAAGATGAAGGGGTTTGAGGGGCGGGTGTGGATGAAGAGGAGTGGGACGAGGAGTCAGGCTGGAGGCGGCAGGCGTGGTGTTGCTGCTGCTCCTTCCGCCCCTGCTGCTGTTGGTGGTGCTGGTGATGATGGTGATGCTGATGGTGATTTTGGTGATGTTGATGCTGCTGCTGATGGTGATGGTGCTGCTGCCACTGCTGATGGTGGCGGTGGTGGTGGTGCTTGTGCTGGTGATGATGAATCTATCTGTAAAGCTGGAGCAGCAACTACGGCAGCAGCAGCAGCAGCAGAAGCAGTAGCAGCATCAGCAGCAGCAGCTGCCGCTGCTGTTACTGCTACAGGCATGGAGCAGACAGCTGGCAGAACTGGTCGAGGCAGGGGTAGAGGCAGAGGCAGGTGGAGAGGGAGGGGCAGGTGGGCAAGGGGAGAAGTGCAGAGGGCGAGAGCATTAGAAGTGGGGGAACGTGGGGAAGGAGATGGGGAAGAGGAAGGGAAGCTGGTGGCAGGGGGAGCAGGTGAGGTGTCAGGAGGTGAAACTGAAGTGAGGGAGATGAGTGAGGGTGGAGAGGCGGGAGAGGGGAGGGGTGTGGTGGGCAGTGGTGGACAGGTGGATGGGGTAGTGGAGGAAGTGAGTGTTGATGTTGATTTGGTTCCTGTGGAAAGGACGGGAATTGAGGGAGGAGAAGGAGAAAAGAGAGATTTGGGAGTTTTGAGGGCGATTGGAGGGGGGAGGAGGGGAAGGGGCGGGATGAGAGGCACGAGAGGGACGGGAGAGAAGGGGGGCAGTCTGTTGCATGTGATGCAAGAGCCAAGCGATGTGGTGATGGTGGGACAGACAGGGACCGAGACAGGCAGGGGAGAGGAGACGGGAGAAGTAAAAGGGGCGAAGGGAGAAGGTAAAGAGGAGAAAGGAGTGCAGGGGAGGAAGGGGTCAGGAGAAGGCATGAGAGAGAGAGAGGATATTGGAGTGGGGGAGAAGGGAGAAGAGAGAGTGTCAGGGGGAGGTGTGGAGGCGGAGTTTGAAGGGCAGATGCAGCGAGGTAGGGCAGAGGGGAGGGGAGGAGGTAGGAGAGGAATGAGAGGGAGGGGGGTCGGGAGAAGGGCGGGGACTGGGCTGGGGAGGGAGGGATTGAGGAATGGAAGAGAAGAAGAAGGAGAAGAAGGAAAAGAAGAAGAGGAGGAGGGAAGTGTACTGGGGAAGCATGAGATGGTTCTAGGAGAGGTTGTTGCTGGGAGGGACAGTGACTTGCAGGATCAGGAAGGGGCAGGAGATGAGGTGGAGATGGGGGAGGTGAGAGAAGCGGAAAGAGGAGAGGCTGATGGGGTGGAAGATGGTGATTTCGTTCTTGGTGATTCGGGAATGGGGGATGTGAGGGGGAATACGGAGCGAGACAGGTCGATGGGTGCGCAGGCAGCAGCTGGGAGAGGGGTGGAAGGAGGAGACGGGGGAAGGGATGAGGGCCTAGGAAAGGGGCTTGTGAGTGTGAGTTGGCAGCAGGCTCAGGCGCTGCTGTTAACGCATGACACAGCAGCTCCAGATGATGATGGGGAGGAGGGGGGAGAGGAGGGGGGAGAGGAGGAGGTGGAGGAGATTGAAGAGGAGGGGAGGAAGGAGGAGAAGCACGGGGATGCGGCAGGTGCAGCAGGAGGGGGAGAAGGAGAAGGAAGAGTAGGAAGAGGAGGAGATGGTGGGGGTTCAGCTGAGGGAGTAGTGGAAGGGAGGGCAGGGCGTGGGTGGGGACGAGGAGGGAGAGGAGGAGGGCGGGAGGGGATGAGAATGGCAGGTGGTGGGGGAGGGGGCGGTGGAGTGCTTGGGAGGGGACAGGGACGGGGAAAGGGTGAGCGAGGGTATGTGGAGAGAGGAGGGGTTGGAGAGAGAGCAAGGAGAGTGGGGCATGGGGGAGGGCATGGGGAGGAGGTGAAGGAGGAAGTGGATGGGGAGGAGAAGGAGGAAGAGAGGGTGGTGAATAGGCTTAGGCCCAGGCGGTGTGCTGTGGTGGTGGTGGAAGGTAGGAGGAAGCAGGAGAATGGGCCTGCGCATGGTGATTGTAAGGAGGGTGTGGGTTCCCCTTTTGCTGCTGCTCAGGCTGCTCTTCGTGCGGCTGTTGGTGCTGGTGGTGGTGCTGGTGGTGATGCTGTGGGGAGTGGTGGTGCAGTGGAGGAGGGGACGAGGCAGGGGGTAGGTGGAGTAGAGGGTGTGTTGAGGCAGCTGCAGCTGCTGCGGCAGGAGAGGGAGCTATCGCCTGTTGTGGAGGAGTTAGAAGATGAGCAGTACTGGGAGTGGTGGGGGGGCGCGGAGGTTGAAGAGGAGGGTGAGGAGGGTGAGGAGGGTGAGGAGGGTGAGGAGGGTGAGGAGGGTGAGGAGGGAGAGGGGGGAGAGGAAGGAGAGGAGGGAGTTGAGGGAGTGGAGGGAAGGGAGGGACGAGAGAGCAGTGGAAGAGAGGAAGAAAGGGAGGGAGGAGATGAGGAGGAGGATAATAGGAATGAGGGGAAGTTGATGGACGGAAGGAGGGTGGAGGTGGAGGAGTGGGCGGGTGGGAGGGGGCATGTGGTGGGTAAGGGGATGAAGAGCCAGGGAGTGAAGAACCAGGGAGTGACAAGCAGTATCAAACTGGTTAGTGGGTATGATTATTACCGTGGGAGGGAGGTGGAAGAGGTGGGGGAAGGGGATAGAGTGCGGGGGAAGAAGAAGAAGAAGAAGGGTGGGGGAGCTAAGGCGAGAAAGTCCCTGAGAGCAGCGAGGAAGGCGCAGAAGAGAGGGAAAGGGGGGAGGTTCGTGAAGATGGGGGAGGGGAGCGGTGCGGGTGGTTTGGGTGGGAGGAGTGGAAGAGGGGGGGCGCGTGGGATGGAGGGTGGTAGAAGGGAGGATGGAGTGGGTACGTCTGCGTTTGGAGAGGGGAGGAGCCGTGGACGGAGGGGGAGGAGGGAGGAGGAGAACGAGGATGGTGGTGTGGTGGCTCTGTATGGTGATGCTGATGGTGAGGAGGAGAATGAGGATGGTGGTGGTGATGGTGATGGTGATACGAGCGATGGTGGGAGCGATGATGTTGTGATGGAAGGAGGTTCGAATGCGGGGAGTATGGATGTTGAGGAGGTGAGCAGGGGGCGAGACGAGGAGGAGGAGGACGGAGAGGAAGGGGAAGAGGAAGAGGATGAGGATGAAGACGGAGGAGGAGGAGGAGGAGGAGGATGAGGAGGAGGAGGAATCAGAGGAGGATGATGATGTGGTGCCGCATAGGGAGGAGACTGAGGAGGAGAGGCAGCGGCGGCTGGAGCAAGAGGACTCGGTGCTGCTGAGATACCTGCAAGTGAAGGATGCACGGGAGGTGGGTGAGAGGGCGAGGGAGGCTTGTCGAGTCAAGGCACTTGGCATGTGAGTTGATTCGAATCCAAAAAATACTTGTGTGGAGTCGACTGAAAGTCAAGATGACTCAGTGCTGCTCAGATACCTGCAAGTCAAGGATGCACGGGAGGAGGTGGGTGAGAGGGCGAGGGAGACATCAGTCAAATCACTTGTCGTTTGATTCGACTCAAAAGCTGACTTGTGTTGAATCGGGTCGAAAGCGAGAGGACTCAATGCTGCTCAGATGCCTGCAAGTCAAGGACGCACGGGAAGTGGGTGGGAGGGCGAGGGAGACTTGTTGAGTCAAGTCACTTGACGTTTCAGTTGAGTCCCATCTCTCCCTGTTTCCCTCCCTTTCTCTTCCCTCTCTCCCCCGCCTTCCCCTTCTCAACTTTTGCCTTTCTCTTCCACCTTTCCCCTCTGTATTTCCCTCTCGGCCCCCCTCTCCCTCCTGCTCTTCCCCCTCCCTCCCCTCTCTGGCCTGGCCCTTCTTCCCTCCCCGCTCCTCCCCTTCCTCCCCGCTTCCCTCCCCCCTTCTCTACCTGCAGCGGCGGCGCAAGGCGGGCATAAACCGGCGGGTGCCGAAGCCGCAGCAGGAGCCGGTGCAGGCACGGGCGCACTGGGATGCGCTATTGGACGAGATGGCATGGTTGTCCAAGGTGGGGGCGAGAGGGGGTGAAACGGGGGAAAGATGGAAAGAAGGGGGAAGAGGAGGGATGGTTGACAGGGAAAGGAGCCGGTGCAGGCACGGGCCCACTGGGACGCTCAGCTGGTCGAGATGGCATGGCTGTCCAAGGTGGGAACGAGAGGGGGGTGGGAGGAAAAGGGGGAAAGGGGGAACATGGGGGAGGGGAGGGGGATGTTGGAAGGGGGGAATGGGGAAAAGAGCCGGGTACACTGGGACGCTCTATTGGACGAGATGGCATGGCTGTCCAAGGTGGGTTTAGTTCAGGGTACTGGGATGTGTTGTTGGAGCCGCCAGGAAGAGGGGGAAGAGGGGAGAGGGGGAAAGAGGGGAGAGGGGGAAGAGGGAAGAGGGGGAAAGGAGCGGGCGCACTGGGATGGGACGTGGTGCTGGTCGAGATGGCATGGCTGTCCAAGGGGGGGGGAGAAGGGAGAAAGGGGAAGGGGACGGGGACGGGGGAAGGGGAGGTGTGAATTTGAGGTGTCCGAGTGAGTGAGTGCTTTCTCATGGAAGTGCTCGGATCGGAATGATGTGAATTCCGGATGAAGATGGTTGGCTGGCTCCTATGGCTGCAATGCAAGCACATGGCATCGCACGGCATGGCATGGCAAGGCAAGGCACGACATGATGATATTCCTCCCCCCTGACCCCTTTGGGTGAGGGCAGGATTTTGACAAGGAGCGGCGGTGGAAGGTGGGGCAGGCGAGGAAGACGGGTGCGCGTCCGTCCCTTGATATCTGCTCAATCCCGCTCACCCCCCTCAACTCAACCCACACCCTACTCTCTGCGTGCCGGCAGGATTTTGACAAGGAGCGGCGGTGGAAGGCAGGGCAGGCGAGGAAGACGGGTGCGCGGGTGTGCCGGGCCAGAAATGACCTGGAGCTACGCGGGGAGAAGAAACTCAAGGTGAGCGAGCTTTCACGTTGTGCGTGCTGGCCATGATCCGGATTCCACGCAAGCGAGAACCTGTCTTTCCGCTGTGCACGAAAACCTGATGGCTCATGAATAGCTTGAGTTTTGAACTTTTCTTTCTTTCTCCCCTGCACCCTTTGCACGTTTTCCCCTCCTGTGCACGAACTCGCACGCCTAATGGCTCGTGGACGGCAGGAGGAGGAGCAGCGAGTGAGGCGGGTGGCGAGCGGCATAGCCAAGGAGGTGAAGCGGTTCTGGATGAAGATCGAGAAGCTGGTAATTGCCTTGCCTTGCCTTGCCTTGCTTTGCTTGGTATGTACCGTGTTTATGCTGGCCGTTCTGTTGGGATCTGACTTGGCTAAGAGAAGCAAGCAAGCGGCATAGCCAAGGAGGTGAAGCGGTTCTGGATGAAGATTGAGAAGCTGGTGGGTGCCTTGCTGTTGTGTCCTAATGCATCCGTGTCATGCCTTTCCGTGACATGTCATGCCATGCTGTGCCGTGCGTGCAGGGCGCTGCCATGCCATGCCGTGGGGTCCCAAAAGTCTCATTTTCTTTACCTTTTCTCGTGTGCTTTCCTGTGTGTCTCCTTGCTGTGTGCATCGTGTGCGCTGTGTGCGTTCCATGTGTTTCCTTGCTGTGCATGGCCAGGTGGTGTACAAGCACGAGCTTCAGGTGGAGGAGAAGAAGAAGAAGGCCCTGGATAAACACCTGGACTTTCTCCTGGGACAGACTGAGAGGTACTGCACACGTGCAGGGGTGGGTGTGTGCATGGGTGCGTGTATGGGTGCATGGGTGCGTGTATGGGTGCATGGCTGCGTGTATGGGTGCATGGCTGCGTGTATGGGTGCATGGGCGCGTGTATGGGTGCATGGGCGCGTGTATGGGTGCATGGGCGCGTGTATGGGTGCATGGGTGCGTGTATGGGTGCATGGGTGCGTGTATGGTGGGTGCATGGGTGCGTGTATGGTGGGTGCATGGGTGCGTGTATGGGTGCATGGGTGCGTGTATGGTGGGTGCATGGGTGCGTGTATGGTGGGTGCATGGGTGCGTGTATGGGTGCATGGGCTCAGTGCATGCGGGCGCATGTGGGTGTTTGGGTGCACGTGCATGGTCATGGGCATGGGGAGGGCATGAGCATGGGAATGGGAGTATGGACACGAGTGATAGCTTATACTTGTTCTTGATGCTGTGGGAGAAGAATGGTGAGAGAGAGGCATGGTGAGAGAGAGGCATGGTGAGAGAGAGGCATGGTGTGAGAGAGGCACTGTGAGAGAGAGAGGGAGAAACATGCAATTGTTGCCCTTTATGACCCCCATTTGATTTAACTCAAGAGGTGCTCCTGTGCTTCTTTGTTCCCTTTGGGTGTGCTGTGCCTGTGCCTGTGCCTGTGCTCTCCATTCGTTTTTGCAGGTATTCCTCTCTTCTAGCGGAGAACCTTGCTGCTGACAACGAGGAGGGAGAGGAGAGAGAAGAGGGGGAGGTGGGGGAGGAGGGGGAAGAAGGGGAGGAGGTGGAAGAAGGGGAGGAGGGTGAGGAGGGAGAGGAAGATATGGAAGGAGTAGAGGTTGAGGAGGGAGGCGAGAGTGATGTGGAGGGGGATACAGGGGAGGGGCACGAGGGGGAGGAAGAGGAGGGGGAAGCAGAAGAATTGGAGGAGGTGGAGGAAGAGGAGGAAGTGGAAGGAGAGGAGGGCGCGGAGGTGGAGGAGTGGGAAGAGGTAGAGGAGGGTGAAGTGGGAGAGGAGGGAGAGGAGGAAGAGGACGGTGGGGCAGTGGGTACGGATGCGGAGTGGGATGAGGAGGGGGGAGAGGGGGAAGCAGGGGAGGATGAGGATTTTAGAGGGGGGAGTGATGAGGAGATGGAGGAGCAGCGCCGACAGGTGAGAGGACGCCCACACTCATCATACCCACCACCACCACCACCACCACCACCACCACCACCACCACCACCACCACCACCACACTTCTGCTTCCCACGCCCACACCATACCCACACTCCCTCCTTCCGCCCCACACCCCCACAATTCACCCTCCCTCACCTAGATATCTACGAGAGGGAGATGATGCATGAAAAGCATGAGGAATCTTATCTTTCCTACACCTGCAGTTCACTCACTCACACTCCCTTTCCCCCCTCCCTCCTCTCCCCCCTTGGGCACCAGGAGGAGTACGAGAGGGAGATGATGCAGGAGGAGGAGGAGGTGGGCGAGGAGGAGAGGGAGGCGGAGCTAGCAGCGCTGGCGGACGACATGGACCAGCCCCTGGACAGCATTCTCGCCGCCTACCAACGTGAGTGACCGCACTGCACCGCACTGCTCGCTCACTGCCTACCAACGTGAGTCCACCGCTCTGCGCTGCTCACTGCTGTAGACGTTTGTCTCAAAATATGAGACTCTTAGAGCTAGCAGCGCTGGCGGACGACATGGACCAGCCGCTGGACCGCACCCTTGCTGCCTACCAAGTTACCAACGTGAGTCACCGCACTGCTCTATCTGTCCTCCCTGTCTGGCTGTTCTTGTCCAAAGTTGTTCCTAAGCTTTTTCCTTTCTGCGTGTTCTTCTTTGGCCGTTCTTCGCTTGATGTGTTTATTGACAGAGAATGGGCCACTGCCGACAGAAGGTTCAGAAGAACTGCCAGCAGCAGCAGCCGCGGCAGGAGGACGGGAGGGTGAGAAAGCAGGAGAGGGAGAGGGAGAAGAGGCTCATGCTGATGCTGCATTGGATGCAGGGGAGAGGAAGATCGCACCAGGAGCAGCCGAGAAAAGCACAGCAGAGGAAGCAATCGCAGGAGGGGCAGAGAGCAAGGGAAGCGCGGCAGCAACAAAGGCACAGAAATCGCTGTCAGTGCTTCCTGCGCTAACACCTGAAGCAGCAGCAACAGTTGCGACCACGTCACCACCACCACTACCAGTGGCGGCAGCGGCAGGAGCGGCAGCAGCAGCAGTGCGTGCGGATTCAACAGTGCCACCTCTCGTCCCTGCTGCTGCTGACGATGATGACTATAACCCTTTGAAAGAGGGGCAGGTGAGGTTTCTGGGATGGGTGGGTAGGTGAGCGAGGGGAGAGTGTGGGAGGTGGGCGGTGCTGTGCAAGTGGGGAGATGTGCATGCATTGAGAAGGCTACGTTCTAGGGGCCTTTTGAAAGAGTTGTGAAGGTGAAAGGAGGGGATGTGATGCGGTTCAGTGAGCTGAGTTGAATTAAGGTGAGAGGTGCATTGAAAAGTAGGGGGTAGCAGCAGTAGTAGTGAGTGTGCTGAAATGAAGAGTGGCCAGGGAGACTGTAAGGTAAGACGGTGTGGGGAAGGTGGGTAGGAGTGAAGGGGGCACTGTGAAGAAGAGATATAGTTTGATTGGTCTGGCATAGCCACTGCTGCCGTGCCTACTGCCTGCTATACCTGCTGCCGTACCTGCTGCCGTACCTGCTGCCGTACCTGCTTCCGTACTTGCTGCTGTACTGTACCTGCTGCTGTTACACCCTTCCCATACGTATCTCGTCACGCTCCCCTCTCTCTGCTAGTATCTATCCAATGGCATCGGTCAACTCTTCAACTCCATTCCATAATCTCTTGCATCTGTCATTTCCCGTACCCTCATGCCATGCCACAAACCAAACGTTGACATCGACCCGTGACAGGAGGAGGAGGATGACGAGGCAACACTGGAAGAGGAGGAGAGGCTGAGAGGGGAAGAGGACGGGCGAGGGGCAGACGAAGAGGTATACTGCTTGGCGTATCTGCCTCTTGCATTGTTGCATCATGTCTCCCGTTGTCGCTTGGATCTAATCGTCACTTCAATTCCAATTCTTTTCTCTCTGTAACCAACCATAATCTTCTTGAAACCAAGCCCTTCCCAGTATACAGAAACTTTTCGAGCTTTTAGAACACAGAACCCTACTGTTGCGTGATTTGTTTGATCACTTGTTTTGCATACCATATCACCATCAGGTGAACGAGCTGCAGGGAGAGAATGAACTGCCTCTGGAGGAGATTCTGCGCCGATACAAGCAGGTATGATGCTGCACTGATGGTAGTCTTACTAGGTAATGACTCCTTGTTGCGGGAAACAAAAACAAGGCCTCACTAGTCACGTCTCTGACTTGTGTGCCTTGGATTGTACCACAACTCCCAACCCGCGTGTGGTGCTATTATTTAAAGCAGATATGCTATGGCGTGTGCATGGATATACTTTTGAGATTTAACCGCTGCTGTGTTGTGTTCTGTGGTTTGCGGCTGCTGCAGATGAAAGGAGGAGAGGACAGTGACGAGGAGGAGCAAGAGGAGGAGGAGGAAGATGAGGAAGAAGAGGAGGAAGAGGAAGGGGATGACGAGGGGGAAGAAGAGGAGGGAGAAGAAGAGGAGGAGGAAGAGGAGGAGGAAGCGGAGAATGAGGAAGATACAGAAGAAGGAAAGGGAGACGGGCAGGATAGTTCCGTGCAGCTTGCTAAGTCACATGAGGTGATGGGGAACGGGGTGAAGGAGGAACGTGAGCAACCGCATGGGAAAAAGAGGAAACGCCCGGAGGGTGCGAGAGAAGGAGAGAGGGAGGGAGAGGAACGGGGAGAGGGAGGAGATGGAAGTGATGGGAGACGTGATGGGGTGGTGGTGGTGAAGGTGGAAGGGAGGAGCGAGGACGCAGAGGGAGGGGGGAAACATGAAGATTCTCGAAAAGAGCAAAAGGTGAAGGAGGAAGCAGGGGTGGGTGGTGAGGGGGAGGCGGAAGCGGGTGTGGGAAAGAGTGTGGGAGTGGGGTTGGGAGGTGAGGCTGTGAATGGTGTTGAGGAAAAGCAGGAAGGAGTTGTGGGGAAAGGAGAGGGAAGAGCAGACGTGGTTATGGCGAGAGGGGATGGGGGTGGGCTGGATGGGGAGGAGAGCTCCAAGAGAAGAAAGGTGAGCTTTGCAGTGGGGGTCGAGGAAAAAGAGGGGGGGAGTGTGCAGGCGGAAGGGTTGGGAAAGGCAGAGCAGGTGGCGGGGAAGAGTGGGGGTGGAGAGGATGTTGGGGATGTGGGGGGAAGTGTTGCAGCAGAGGTGGAAGGGGAGGAGGAAGAGGAGAAGGAGGGTGGTCGTGCAGAGCATGGTGTGGGAAAGGGGAAGGAAGTGGAGGAAGAGGAAGAAGGGGGAGAAGAGGGGGAGAGGGAGGAAGGGGAGGAGGACGACGACGACGATGATGAAGCGGATGCAGGGGAGGAAGCAGAGCACAGGCGCAAGGGCAAGGGGAAGGACAAAGGAAAGGGGAAAGCGAGCGAGGAGGAGCAGTGGAGAGACGCAGCAGCTGCGGCAAGCGCAGCACAGCCCACAGGGCACACCATGTCCACCACCAAGGTCAAAACCAAAGTGCCCTTCCTGCTGAAGCTCCCGCTCCGCGAATACCAACACATTGGCCTCGACTGGCTGGTAACCCTCTACGAGAAGAAACTCAACGGGATTCTCGCAGACGAAATGGGGCTGGGGAAGACCATCATGGCGATCGCACTCCTGGCGTATCTGGCGTGTGAGAAGGGCCAGTGGGGGCCGCATTTGGTGGTCGTGCCGACGTCTGTGATGCTCAACTGGCAGATGGAGCTCATGAAATGGTGCCCTGCGTTCAAAGTCCTCACGTACTTCGGCTCGGCGAAAGAACGCAAGGCGAAGCGGCAGGGGTGGAGTAAGCCGAATTCCTTCCACGTGTGCATCACGACGTACCGGCTCGTGGTCCAAGACGCGAAGGCGTTCCGGCGGAAGAAGTGGCGGTATCTGATTCTCGACGAGGCTCACCTGATCAAGAACTGGCGCTCGCAGCGCTGGCAGACTCTGCTGAACTTCAACGCGAAGAGGAGGATTCTGATCACGGGCACGCCGCTGCAGAATGATTTGATGGAGCTGTGGGCGTTGATGCACTTCCTCATGCCGCACGTGTTCCAGTCGCATGCGGAGTTTAAGGACTGGTTTTGTAATCCCATTTCTGGGATTGTCGAGGGAGGGGGAGCGGGTGGAGCGGCAGGAGGGGCGGGTCAGGGGTCCACGGCAGCAGGGGAGGCAGGAGGTACTGGTACCGGTGTTGCTGCTGGTGGCGGTGCTGTGGTTGCGGCATCAGCAGGAACAGCAGCCGGAGCAGCAGGAGGAGCGGCAGCAGCAGGACCAGCAGCGGCAGACACAGGCATGGCAGGGAACCCCGAGGTGATCGACCGATTACACAACGTTCTACGGCCGTTCCTTCTCCGCCGGCTCAAATGCGATGTGGAGCGATCCCTCCCTCCCAAGTACGAGCACGTGGTCACATGCCGGCTGTCCCGGCGTCAGAGGCAGCTTTACGAGGAGTTCATGGCTCGGTCTGACACGCAGGCGACGCTCGCGAGTGGGAATTTCCTGGGGTTGATTAATGTGCTGATGCAGCTGCGGAAGGTGTGTAATCATCCGGATTTGTTTGAGGGGCGGCCGATCGTGTCGTCGTTTGATATGAGCCCGCCGCTGGTGCTGCCGCTGCCGTCGCTGGTGGTGGGGGTGGGTGCGGGGGGGAGTGGGGTTGGGAGGGCGATGCTTGGGGCTGCTGCGCTGGGGGCGAGAGGCGGGGGGGAGAGGTGGGGTGTGGTGGATAGCTGGTGGGTGGGCGGGGAGGGGATGGGGAGGAGGGGTGTGCGGGACCACACAGGGTGGGATGGTGCGGAGGAGGAAGAGGAGGAAGAGGAGGAAGAGGAAGAGTTGGATGGGGTGTTTGACGCAGGGAGGGGAAGGGAGGGGAGGATTTTAGGTTCTGGGAAATGGGGAAGAGGGGAAGGTAAAAGGTGGAGAGGATGGGGGAGTCTTGGGTCCGGGCAGTGGAGGGGAGGAGGAGGAGCGGTGGGATATGAGGACTTGAAGTGCTTGGGTCTGGTGCGGACTGTGTGGGATAGGAGTATGGCGATGTGGGAAGCAGAGGAGGTAGAGAGGCTTGCTGCTCCTCCTGCTCTGATTGAGGAGATTGGGATGAGGACGGTGAGAAGGGAGGAGGAGGAGGAGATGGAAAAGGATGAAGAGGATATGACAACGCTGCTGATAGCAGCTGCTGGTGAGGAGGAAGGCGAAGAGGGAGAGGAGGAGGAGGATGAGGATGAGGAGGATGAGGAGGAAGAAGGGGAGGTGCGAAGTGGGGACGAGGGAGAGGAGGATGGAGGGGAGAGCATGGGGAGCGATGACGAGAGGGAGAGTGGGGATGAGATGGAGATTGATGGAGGAAGGTGGCGGGATGGGAGAGGAGGGGATGGTGGTAACGCAGGGAAGAACCTTAAGAAGAGGAGGAGCTTGAAAGCAGGAGGACACAGGGAGGGCAAGGGCCGGAAAGGGACAGGCAGCAGCAGAAGCAGCCGAAAGGGCGGCGGCGGCGGTGGTAACAAGGACGGGGAGAGGGCGGGGAAAGGAAGGGGCAGGGTGCGGAAGCTGATGGGGCTACTAGAAGAAGTGCAAGCGCGAGTGCAGGCGAGGAAGCGGCAGTGGCAAAAAGAGGCCCTTGCTCTCACCGCTGCTCTCAGCTTTGCCCGCTGCCGCCACCAACGCCCTGTATTCGGCACAGATGCTATCAGCCTGCTCTCGCTCCCGCACCCCACCCGGCACGCGCATGCGCTGGCTGCTAACCCCGCTGCTGCTCTCTCCCAACCGTCCTGCCTCACTCAGTACTCCTCCCTGCTCACACGCCCTCTTGTCACGCTCATCTCGCCGCTCGAAACCTCCCGGGGCGGTTCAGGGGAAGGCACCGAAGCGCATGACCTGGTCTCAGCTGACGCACCTTCCTCCTCCGCTACAGCTCCCTCACACACTCTCCCCAGCGAGCCACTCCTTCCCCCTCCAACCTCCCAACGCACACAGCCACTCATCCTCTCCCCTCTCCAACGCTGCGAAGCCCTAACCACCACGATCTCCACCTTCGTATTCGCCATTCCCCCAGCCCGCGCCGTGCCCCCCTCCTTCACCTGCTCGCACACCCTCCCGTGGCTCGAAACCTCCCGAGCACAAACCGAACAAACCCTCGACCGCTCCCTCCGCCCCCTCCTCGCCCCGCTCCGCACGGCCTTCATACGCCGCCAACTCTTCTTCCCGGATCGCCGCCTCATCCAATTCGACTGCGGGAAATTACAAGAGCTAGCCGTGCTCCTCCGGAGGCTGAAGCTTGGGGGGCATCGCACCCTCATCTTCACCCAAATGACCCGCATGCTGGACGTTCTAGAGGCGTTTCTGGCTTTACACGGGCACACGTATATGAGGCTGGACGGGGCGACGGGGCCCGAGCAGCGGCAGATTCTGATGCAGCGGTTCAACACGGATCCGAAGATCTTTGCGTTTATCCTGTCCACGCGGTCGGGCGGTGTGGGGATCAACCTCGTGGGCGCTGACACTGTCATCTTCTATGACAGTGACTGGAACCCAGCCATGGACCAGCAGGCACAGGTGCGTGTGCGTGTGTATGGCATGTGCGTTTGCTCCCAGGAGCTCGTGTTTTGAGTCGACTCAAAACGCATACGTATATAAGAGAGACTGGACGGGGGAACAGGCCCCGAGCAGCGGCAGATTCTGATGCAGCGGTTCAACACGGATCCGAAGATCTTTGCGTTCATTCTGTCCACGCGTTCGGGCGGTGTGGGGATCAACCTCGTGGGCGCTGACACTGTGATCTTCTATGACAGCGATTGGAACCCAGCTATGGACCAGCAGGCTCAGGTGCGTGCATGTGTGCGTTGCCTCGCTACATGAGTGTGTGTTAGCTCTCTTGAGGTGCCTCGCTTACATGATTGGTCAGGCAGCCTTAACCTGGTGGGCGCTGACACGGTGATCTTCTATGACAGTGACTGGAACCCAGCCATGGTCCAGCAGGCACAGGTGCGTGCATCCAAGTATTAGTAGAGCCTGATGTTTTTGGCGCGTCAAAGGGAATGAGTGGTCTTCTGTCTACGGTGAGTGATTGGACAGAAATCCCTGCCTGCCAGTGCATGGACCCGCAGGCACAGGTGCGTGCGTGCGTGTGTTGGTGGAGTCTGTAACGTCCCTTTCTCGGGCGCTTCAGTGACCAGCTAGACTGGAGCTGACACCATGATCTGCCCCCACCATGATCTATGACACTGGCTGAGATCCGCCCATCCACTGTCATAGATGGACACAGGTGCGTGCATGCATGCGCCTCAAGGCAAAAAAACTCTCCCTCCCTTCCTCTTCCCAACTGCTCCCATCCAGGATCGGTGCCACCGCATAGGGCAGACGCGCGACGTGCACATATACCGGCTTATAACGGAGAGCACTATAGAGGAGAACATCCTGAAGAAGGCGAACCAGAAGCGGCTATTAGACGATCTGGTGATTCAGAGCGGCGGATACACCACTGACTTCTTCAAACGGGTAGACCCCATGGAGCTGCTGGGAGGTATCCCTCTCCCTGCTGCTTCTGCTGCCGCTGGTGCTGGTGGTGGTGCTGGTGGTGTTGGTGCTGGTGCTGCGGCTGGTGCGGGCGGTGGTGCTGCTGGTGGTATGGCTGGTGGTGCTGCTGCGGTCGCTTCTTCTAGCGCTGCTGCCGCTGCTGCTGCTGGTGCCGCTCCGTCGCCAGCGCTGAGAGATATGGAGGCAGCGTTTAGAGATGTGGAGGATGAGGCAGATGTGCTGGCGCGCAGGCAGGAGGAGGAGGAGGCGGCTGCTGAAATGAGAGAGTTTGCAGATGAAGGGCCGGTGGGGGGGGGGGGCGGGGAGGAGGAGGAGATGGAGGAGGAGGGGGATGGGGAAGGGGAGAAGGATGGGGGTAAGGGGGAGGGGGAGAGGGAAGTGGGGGATGAGGATGGAGGGGGTGGAGGTGCGGGGGGTGGTGAAGGGGGAACAGAGGCGATGGGGAGGGAGGGTGAGAAGGAACGGAAGGAAGGAGTAGTGGAGAAAACGGGAGTGGATGAGGCAGCAGCAGAAGCAGCAGCAGCAGGAGAGGGAGCAGGAGGGAAAGAAGGAGGAGGAGAAGGGGAACGGGGAGGAGGAGCAGTAGCGGAAGGTGCGAAGGAAGTAAAGGAATGGGAAGGGTTGGGCGCAGCAGGGATGGCGTTAGGAGAGGAGGAGGAGGAGATGGATATGATAGCGGATGTGAGACAGATGGCAGCTGCTGCTGCAGCAGCAGGCACGCAGGGCAGCAACTTTGGCAGTCAGCTGCAGCCCATTGAAAGGTGCGTGCGTGATCGTTGCATTCTGAGTTGACTTCTTGTCTTCGTGCTCTTTCTTGAGTTGCTTTTCTGCGAGCTCGCCTCAAAAGGTAACAACCATGACAGTCAGCTGCAGCCTGCAGCCATGTAAGAGGTGTGTGCTTGCTCAGGCCTGCACCTTGTAGAACGGTGGGTGCTGTGCTGTGCTGGGGTCCTCACTCTTGGGTGAAGTGGACTCAAAGACCCATGTCCGCACCCTCATCGCACCCAAACCCACCCCCTTGCTCCCCTCTCTAGGAGCTGTGGGACCCGGTGGTGAACAAGCAGGAGGTGGACAAGCTGTGGGATGTCCCTCATCCCCCGTCCCTCATCCCCCGTCCCTCATCCCCCTCCCTCATCCCCCATCCCTCATCCCCCGTCCCTCATCCCCCGTCCCTCATCCCCCCTCCCTCATCCCCCGTCCCTCATCCCCCGTCCCTCATCCCCCGTCCCTCATCCCCCGTCCCTCATCCACCCCCCTCATCCCCCGCCCCTCATCCCTCATCCCATTCCCCTGTCCCCTCTCCCAGGTACGCGATGCGATTCTACGAGCTGTGGGACCCGGTGGTGGACAAGCAGGAGGTGGAGAGCGAGGAGGAGGAGGTGGAGGAGGAGGAGTGGGAGATGGAGCAGCTGCAGCGGCTCAAGGAGGAGCAGGAGGCCGAGATGGATGATGACGAGGAGCCGCTGCAGTACTCTGGTGGGTTGGGAAGGGTTGGTTGGGGTGCAAGAGTGAGGGAGGGAGGGTTGGGGTGGGAAGGGTTGGGACTCAAGGAGGAGAAAGAGGCGGAGATGGATGACGATGAGGAGCCGCTGCACGACTCTGGTGGGTTGGGATGCACGGGAGAGGGGGAAGGGAGGCGGGTGGAAGGGAGGAGTGGGTAGGAGGGAGTGGAAGGGTGAGGGTGGAAGGGAGGAGTGGAAGGGTGAGGGTGGAAGGGAGGGAGTGGAAGGGTGAGGGTGGAAGGGTGAGGGTGGAAGGGTGAGGGTGGAAGGGTGAGGGTGGAAGGGAGGGAGTGGAAGGGTGAGGGTGGAAGGGTGAGGGTGGAAGGGTGAGGGTGGAAGGGTGAGGGTGGAAGGGAGGGAGTGGAAGGGTGAGGGTGGAAGGGTGAGGGTGGAAGGGTGAGGGTGGAAGGGTGAGGGTGGAAGGGTGAGGGTGGAAGGGTGAGGGTGGAAGGGTGAGGGTGGAAGGGTGAGGGTGGAAGGGAGGGAGTGGAATGGTGAGGGTGGAAGGGTGAGGGTGGAGGGTGAGGGTGGAAGGGTGAGGGTGGAAGGGTGAGGGTGGAAGGGTGAGGGGGAAGGGAGGGAGTGGACGGTTGAGGGTGGAAGGGTGAGGGTGGAAGGGTGAGGGTGGAAGGGTGAGGGTGGAAGGGTGAGGGTGGAAGGGTGAGGGTGGAAGGGTGAGGGTGGAAGGGTGAGGGTGGAAGGGAGGGAGTGGAAGGGTGAGGGTGGAAGCGTGAGGGTGGAAGGGTGAGGGTGGAAGGGTGAGGGTGGAAGGGTGAGGGTGGAAGGGTGAGGGTGGAAGGGTGAGGGTGGAAGGGTGAGGGTGGAAGGGTGAGGGTGGAAGGGTGGGGTGGAAGGGTGAGGGTGGAAGGGTGAGGGTGGAAGGGTGAGGGTGGAAGGGTGAGGGTGGAAGGGTGAGGGTGGAAGGGTGAGGGTGGAAGGGTGAGGGTGGAAGGGTGAGGGTGGAAGGGTGAGGGTGGAAGGGTGCGGGTGGAAGGGTGAGGGTGGAAGGGTGAGGGTGGAAGGGTGAGGGTGGAAGGGTGAGGGTGGAAGGGAGGGAGTGGAAGGGTGAGGGTGGAAGGGTGAGGGTGGAAGGGTGAGGGTGGAACGGTGAGGGTGGAAGGGTGAGGGTGGAAGGGCACTCCACACATGTCATGCAAGGGCGTTTCCTTCTCCTCTCTGCTTACCCTCTCCTCCCTTCCCCTTCTCCTCTCCGTCTGCACGCCCTCACCCCCCCACAAATCAGTTTGGGACGTGGAGAATGCAGATGAAGCATATCGGCAGCAAGTGGAAGCACTGTCACATCAGCAGGTACGCTCTTCCGCACACATGCGTGCCTGCATGCATGCACACACACACACACACACACACACACACACACCACACACACACACACACACACACACACACACGCACGCACACACATGCATGCATATGCATGCGAAAGCGTGCACACATGCACACAAATGCATGCACTGCACACACATGCATGCATATGCGTGCGCGCGTGCAAACACACACACACAAACGGACACACACACACACACACACACACGCGCGCGCGCGCGCGCACACACACACACACACACATACACACACACACACACACACACACCACACACGCACACACACACAAACACACACATCAATCCGAACCCTTTGCTCGAGATCTCTTCTGTCCCCTCTCTCCTCACGAACCCTTTCCCTTTTCTACCCCCTCACCCACTCACCCCCCTCAGGAGGTACTGCGGCAGCAGGAGTGGGAGGAGTGGGAGCGGCAGGTGGCTGCTGCAGAGGTGCGAACAGAGGTTGTTGCGAGGAAGAGGAGGAGGAAGGAGGAGAGAGAGGCGAGAAGAAGAAAGGGACGCTGGCCGTCTTTGGACGGGAGGAGGCTTGGAGCAGGGATGCTGGAAGGGATTGGTGAAGAGGAGGAAGAGGAGGGGGAGATTTGGAGCTTGAGGGTGGGGAAGGAGAGGAGGAGGAGGGAGAGAGTGAGGAGGAGGAGGAAACAGAGGAGGAAAGCAGCGAGGAGGGTGAGGAAGAGGGGGAGGGGGGAGCAGAGAGAAGGGCGGTGCGTATGCGAGCACGCGAGGAGAGGAGCCTGAGGAAGAGGCAGAGGAGAGCAGAGAGAGAGGCGAGACGAGGAGGGATGGTTCCTCTCAGGGTTCCCTCAGGGAGAATGAGGCGACTGCCTCGGATGCTGGAGGAAGAAATACTAGCGGAGCTGCACTTAAAGAGGATAAAGAGGAGCAAGGCCAAGGCCCCTGGGGAGTGGCGTGGGGACGGTGAGAGGAGGGTGGGCTTTAGAGTCGAAGGTGAGAGGAGTGGAGGGAGCGAGGAGGAGGAGAGCGAGGAGGAAGAAGACGAGGAGGAAGAGGGGGAGGAGCAAGGGGAGGAGAGGGGAGGAGAGGGTGGAGCAGAGGCAGGGACAGGGAAGGGCAAGGGTGGGAAGCAGGCGAAAGGCAAGGCTGTGGAGCGGGCAAGGAGGAGAGAAGAGGCGCGGCTGGTGCGGTGGAGGGAGAGGCAGGTGCGCATGGGGCGCATTGTCATACAGCCAAAGGACCTGTGGGAGGATGAGGATCCCAGGGTGCCTCTTGTCATTCGCCTGCCGCCGCTTGCGCCTGCTTTCGCTGCTCTCCCCTCCAGTGCTCTATTTGGTGGTTCTTTTGCGGGTCCCTATGGTGGTCTCTATCCTGGTTCCTTTGGTGGTTTGTACAGCAGTCTTTCTGCAGCTTCAACAGCAGCCTTTTTACCATCACAACAACGATCACAACCATCACAACCACCTGTAGCAGCAAACAGCAGCAGCAGCAGCAGCAGCATCAGCATCAACAGCAGTAACAGCAGGCGAATCAACCCACGCCCCACTCCTTACAATCACCCGCACCATCCCAGCCTCGCTCCTACCCTGGCAACCCCACGAGGATGCTACTCTAATAGCAGCACTCTCCCAATACGGCACCGGCAGCTGGCCTCTTATCACTCACATCCTCTCAACGCTCCCGGATGGGACAGCCAGAGAGAGGGGTGCTGTGAGGGGGGTGTGGGAGTGCATGCAGCGGTTGTTCTCGCTGCTAGATGCTCTGAGCTGGTGGCAGGGGTTGGGCCTGAGGGGGACGCGTGGAGGGATGGTGGAGCTGTTGAGGGGAGGGGGGGGGGGTGGGGAGGGATGGGGGTGAGTTGGGGGAGGGGAGGATGGGGAGGTGTGGAGCGGTGGAGAGGGGTGGAGGAGTGTGGTGCGAGATGGGAAGGCAAAGGACATTTTGGTGCCAAAGGTGGGTGTGTGGTCTCGGCGAGTGTTGCAGTTACTTCCGGTCATTGATGGCATGCGTGCATGTTGGCATGTCTTCATCCATGCATGCATGCATGCTTGCATGCGTTCACACTTGCATGCTTGGATGTGTTCATGTTTGCATTGGGCAGTGCATGTGTGTATGTGTGCATGTGTGTATGTGTGCATGTGTGTATGTGTGCATGCATGCTTGTATGTGTACACGTGTGCGTGCATATGCGTGCACGTGCATGCATTTGCACCTATGCGTGCACACATGCACTCACATCGCATAGCATGCACGTGCCATGTGCATTTGTCGGCACCACACCACATATGGATAGCTGCGTTTGATCCATGTGCATCTCCTACTCCCCGCACCTTACATTCTCCCCTTCATCTTCTCTCATTCTTACCATTCCTCTTCCATCCTCTTTCCCCCCTCTAACCTTCTACCCCCTTTTCCCCTTCCCCCTTCCCCTTTTTCCCTTCCTCCAGTCTCAACTGTCCCAACTCTCGCTCCTCATCAGCCCTCTTCCCGACCTCAGCTCTCAGCAACCCTCCCGTGCAGCAGCCTTCATTGCTCGCTTATACACTCAGCCCACAGCAACCTCTCCTCCCCCACACTCATTCCCTCCACATCCCCACATGCATTAATACGGGACAGAACCACAGAACAGGGCACGGTTACTGCTGCTGCTGCTGCTGGTGTGGCAGGTACAGGGAGGCAGGAGCAGAAAGCAGCAGGAGAAGGGACAGCAGCAGGAGGAGAGCATTTGCCTTCGCAATCACTGCCACAGGCGCAGCCCCTCTCCCCCTCTCCCTCCTCTTCCACTCGCTCCTCTTCCTCTTCCCTATCGTTTGTCGCTCTCAGCCCTGTGAACTTGACCAGTGGTGGTGGCGGTGGGAGTTTCCTGGAGTGGCATGAGAAGGGAGACAGGGACGAGGCGAAGGGAGGGAGAATCTGGGCGGAACGGGAGGAAGTATAGAACTAGAGGAGAGGAGGATTTATGCATTAGAATTAGCTGCAGAAGAAGGAGAGGAAGGGGGAGGGGGAGAGGTAGGGGGAGGGGGAGGGGAAGTGGGAGGGGGAGGGGAGGATCAGATTCTTTTACATTGATAGACAGTTGTCGCTTCACGATAGGCTGCTGCGGAGGCTAGTGCGGTCAGGAGCGGTGTTGATGGAAAATGGAGGAGCTGCAGGAAAGGCAGCGGAGGAGGCAAGGAGAATGCTGGATAAAGTGTGGGAGGAGCAGAACGAGGAGAAGGAGCGGGAGAGTGAGAGGAGGGAAAAGGAGAGGAGGGAGAAGGAGAGAGTAATGAGGAAGAGGAGGAGAGAGGAGGAGGATCCGTGGGAGGGCAGAGACAGAGGAGGAGAGCTGGCAGGAGGGACGGGGACGGGGATGGGGATGTGGAGATGGGGGAGGGTGATAATCTGGTGATTGGGAGTGAGCAGAATATGGGTGCTGATTTCAACGTCATGGCCTTCTTGTCTCTGGATGTTGCTGGTGCTGCTGATTCCGGTGCTGCTTCTGATGCTGATTGAGCGCTGGTGCTGCTGCTGACAGTGCCGGTGCTGGTTTCGATGCTGATGCTGATGCTGGTGCTGGCGGTGGTGGCAGTGGTGGCGATTCTGATACTGATTCTGGTCTTAGTGCTGCTGGGCTTATCAGTGATACAATGGACTCATGCCATCCCGCATGGTATGTGATGCTTGTGTGCATGCCTCACATGGTGGCATGTAATGCGCAGTCTGGGTCTCACTCACTCTCTCACTCACTCACTCACTCACTCACTCACTCACTCACTCACTCGCTCACTCACTCACTCACTCTCTCACTCACTCACTCACTCACTCACTCACTGTGTGTATTACACATTAGGCATGACCAGGCAAGGGGCTTGATACACTAGACTCATGTCAAGGTGTCACCCCACCCAGTGACTCACTCTCACCATGAGAACCAGCCCTCTCACTCTGTTATACTTGATAACCTTTCACCTTGCAGCACCAGGTCCTGGTGATTCTTCCCTCGCCCTTCTTCCCTCGCCCTTCTTCCCTCGCCCTTCTTCCCTCGCCCTTCTTCCCTCGCCCTTCTTCCCTCGCCCTTCTTCCCTCTCGCCCCTACTGCTACTTCTCTTGTTTCATGCGCCCCAATCCCTCCCCCTTCTCCCCCCATCTGCCTTTCATCCCAGGTTCCTCGCGCCATCCCATCTCACCCTCTGGCCGACCTCTGCTCTTGCAGTCGAGCTGCCCTCCGTGGTTTTACCACTCCTTTATCTTGCATCTCCTACCCCCCCCCTCCCCCCGCCCCATCTGCCTGTCATCCCAGGTTCCTCGCGCCATCCCATCTCACGCTCTGGGCGACCTCGGCTCTTGCAGTTGAGCTGCCCACCGTGCTTCTTTCCCCATCTCTGATCACAAGCGCTCTCCCCTTCTCATGTGTCCCTTAACCTCCACTCCCCCCACACACATACCCTGCCTTTCATCCCAGGTTCCTCTCTCCATCCCATCTCACCCTCTGGGCGACCTCTGCTCTTGCAGTCGAGCTGCCCTCCGTGCTACTCCTTCCAGACACCCACTCCGAACCACCCACCCCCTCTGCTGCTCTTTCCGAAGAGCCAGCAACTTCCCAAGGAGATGGGCAGCAGCAGCAGCATCAGCCTCACCACCAGCTGCAATCGCAGCAGACAGCACCGCAGCTCAAGCAACAGAAGCTGCAGCAAACCCCGACCACCACCACAGCCCTCCGCCACACCTCCACCGCAACCCACAAGCCTACCCTGCTCGCCCTCCCTGCTTTCACCGCCCCAGCTGCTGCATCCCCCTCCCCTTCCCCATCCCCGTCGCCACATCCCAACTCCACCTCCACCCCTCTTGACCC